ACTAAACGGCTGTGTGACCTCAGGCAGCTTTCTCAGTCTCTGGGCTGATGTCACCCTGCAGAAAGCGGGTCCTTCGGTGCTCTGTGCGTGAACTGCCTGAGCTGTAAAAGATACTGCCCGTCTTCTCCCGCTTACCACGGTGAGCCAAGGTCACTGCTGGGTTGTTCTAACAAGCGGCCTGGTGCCCCCCTGGCCTGGCCTTGGACTCTATGCTGGGCCGGGTCGACAACGGTTTCCCAGAACACCGTGTCCCCGGCTGAATGTCAAAGCCAGAGGTTCAATCCCCGGCCACGTCTCTGGGTGAAAACTGGCTTGTTCCACATCCAGCCCGCCCTCCTCCTCCTGCTGTGCTCCCCTGAGCTGCTGAGGCTAGAAAGCTGAAACCGGCCCGCAGACGCTTTACAGCCGGGATCTGGAGCGGGTGCGGCTGCCAGCCAGCCGCGTCGCAGAGAACGGCCGTCTTAGGTGCTGAGGTCCATGGGGAGGAAGGTTAGGGACACGTGCCTTCTCCCGTGGGAGCAGCACCACCACCCCTACCCCCACTCAACCCCCACCCCCACCCCCACCGCGACTCAGGCCCGCAGGGTGGCTTTCTCCATCCTCCCAGTGATTCTGTAAATACTCATCCGGTGTCAAACAGACCCAATCAGGGACGCAGCCAGGTCTGGCCCAGGTGTTTGGGGTGAGTAAGACCTGTGGGCATTGGACCTTCCCCCGTGGTGGGAGGAGCTGGGGGAGTGGAGGTCTGAAAGGGGGAGCATAGGGAGCCAGCAGCCAGGCATTCTGAACAGCCACCCGCGTGGGCCTGCAGAGGGGCACTGGTAGGTAAGTCGATGGGGAGCCATCACTTCGGCAGCCAAGCACAGGGGGTGGGCCAGGCACTGGAGCCCAGGAGCCCTGGACGCAGCGCCGAGGACAGCCAGGACTAGGGAGCCTGCTGCCGCGGTCAGCTGCCAGGCTTAGCCACTGGCCTGGCAAAGAGGCTGCTGCTGAAACTGGACCGCCAAGGGGGCCAGGCTGCCGGTCACTGTTTGAGCCAATTCAACAGAGACCGGGTGGGATCATATAGGAGCCTTTATTCCATTAATGCCAGCAGGTCACCCACAAAAATCCCCTCTGCACCCCATCCCCCATATGGGGTACAAGGGTGAAGGGTGTGTGGGGAAGTGGGCACAGGAATAAGAATGGGTATAATGGTTACAGATTACAAGCAACGTGGGCAATGTGGAGGGGAGAGGGTTTGCAAAGGGCAGGGGACTCCATTGTCTCCTTTCCTCAACAAGGTTATCCTCTCCATGGTAACAGGCACTTCCTGGATGGAGCGGGTGACCAGCATCTCCGGGGAGCTCCCAGGTCCCCCGTACACCTCCCAGCCAGGTTAGAATGTGCTTTCTTTAACCCACATGTGTCAAACACAAGGCCCGCGGGCCAAATCCGTCCCGCCAGGCCTTGCAATGTGGCCCGCACCGCGCTGTCATCACTGCACTCCGCTGCGTTTCCATCACAATGACAGTTTATGACTGTTCAGTAAACCATTCGGCCCGCGATTTAGGCTGGATTTTAGATTTTGGCCCCTTCTCTGATTGAGTTCGACACCTCTAACCAGAACAAATCAGTCACAGTTCACAGAGCATGATTCACATTTCTTATGAGTATTTCTTATAACTAATAGCTAGTCCCCAGTATTCTATTTCTGCCCCCAACGCTGCTTCCTATCCACCTTCAAAAATCTCACACAAGTTGCTCTTTTGGTCAATTCTAGCTCAGAACCATTCGAGGAAAGGGATTCTGGAAAATGTAGTTCCCAACCTAGCCAAATGGACACCATACTGATTACACCCCTGTGGGCTTACCAAATCCTTCTGCTCTCACTGACTGGGTGAATTCTGCTCTCTACGACTGACCTGACGGACAGAAACTTTGGACAGTTCTGCAGTGGGTGCTGTCAAGGTCTTTGTCAACCCAAGGCCTTTTGTTTGGACAATTCCCCACCTCAGGAGTCTGCACCAGACGCAGTCACATTTCCAGCCTCCCTTGCAATTGGACTAAGCACGTGACCTATGCTCAGCCAATCAGATAGACCGAGATGGTATCCAGGTTCAGCCAATTAAATATCTCAGGTACTTAGACTCAATTATCAGATACACCCAGGTGAAACCTACGTTTAACCCAGTGGTCTGCAAACTCATTAGTCAACAGAGCCAAATATCAACAGTACAACGATTGAAATTTCTTTTGAGAGCCAAATTTTTTAAACTTAAACTATATAGATAAGGTACATTGTTATTAACTTAATTAAGGTACTCCTAAGCTGGCCGTTTGCTAAAAAACATCCTCAATCTGATTGAGGCATTGAAGTATGGTAGCAACCATACTTGGGTAAAAATTGCTGCTGTTTAATATTTTAACCTTGCTGTTTTGGGTTCTGTACCCATTTAAAAGTTATTCTGATTTTCTGAGCTTATGTATGCTGTCCCAATACTCCATGGATGCTGGTTTGAATGTCCCATTGATTGTGACCTCAGTGGTCATGGAAGCACATTCTTCTGGGACCCAGGACAGCTCGATTATCCCAAATTGTCTCAGAGGCTACAGATAACTGAGTTTCGGTTGACTCAGTGGTCCCGGAATCTGGACAGCACAATTATTCTAAATTGCCCCGGTGGTCCCAGATAATGTGTTTCTGTTGACTCCGTGATTCGTAGATACTTTAGATAACTAAGTTGCTCAATTTCGCTTCTGTAAAAATGCTTGTCGAGAAATGACTTTATAATTCGGCTTTTTGAGGCGTCCTTTGTAAGAAGGGGGTTACACTATAACAACACGTGCCTCACGAGCCGCAGTTTGCCAACCACTGGACTTTAACTAATGCAAATACACCCATCTCACCTCCCCCCTCGGCCAGCCCTCTGCCTCTCTGAGCTCCTCGGTCCTGGCCTTACTGGCCTGCCTTATTTCCTGAAAGAAGCCAGGTTCCCGCCTCAGGCCTTTTATACTCTTGCTCTTCCTTCTACCTGGGTTGTTCTTCCAACCAGGTTAGTAGCTCTCAGCTCTGCTGCCCATTAGGGTCACCCGAGCAACGTTGGAAAATATAGAGACCCAAGCCCCAGAGAGATGGCTGTCGTTACTCAGGGAAGTAGCATCTGGGCATTTTTGGTTTGTTTTCTCTCCCCCCAGGTGCTTCTAATGTTCAGCCCGAGTTTAGAGTCGCTGCCCTAGCAGCCTGGCCCTGTCCCCACCTCTCCAGTTTTTGCTCACAGGCAGCTTCTCAGGCCGTGGGCAATCACGCCCATTGGATTCCCTCTCACCCTGCTTGTTTACCACCTTTGGTATCTACCCCACCTTTAGATGCCACATCTGACGGCTTCCCAATGGCGCTCCCTGGGGCTGCAGTTCTGCAACGTGGCCACCAGGTGGCGAGAGGGCTTAATTGAATTCAAGATCACCCCTAGACCATCCTGGCCATCGCTAACAGAGCAAGGATCATGGCAGAGCCCATGGTGCCCTCCCTCCTTTCCTCCTTCATGGAGTCAGAGACACTGGGCACCTGGAAACACTGGGTCCAGACTAAAGTCAGAGGAAAAAGGGCCCACAGTCCTGTCCAGATCACCCAAGTCCTTCCTCCTTATCTGCCCAACCAATCCTGACCCTCCCATGCAGCCACTTGGGATGAGTCCCGGGGTCCCTCACTGTTTCCCTGCCCATCAGCGTACCATCACAGCTGAGGGCTGTGACAGGCATGGTTCTGACAAAAACACTGAAGGAACTGGACGCGGGGCCCTTATTGCAGACCTGGCCTCCTGGGTGCCTCACGCAAACCTGCCGTGGCCATCCAGACCCAGGGGAAGACTGCAAATTCGAGGACGCCCAAGCCGTTTTTCCAAAACAGTTTAATTTTAAAAAAGATGAAGAATCTGGAAAAAAAAAAAGTGGGGAGAAGGGGAGGAACCCAAAAGAGCATACCGTGTCGTGAGTCCACTGGCTCAGTCACAAAGAAACACCACGGTCAAAAAAGATATTTAAGTTTAATACAAATTTTATACAAAGAAAATGTGAAAAAATACTTCCATATGCTAAAAGCAATTATGCTTCACAAATAAGGCCAGCTAGGCTATTTCTTTTCCGATAACTGCAATTCACACATGTTCTTTCTCTCCTGTCTCCTTCTATCACTCCCTTTTTATTTCTCCTCTAATACAGGTAAACTAGCTGGACACTGTACAGCTTGCATCCTCTTACCAACAGTGAAGAGAAAGGAAACGAGACTAAAATGTACAACGAGATGGGCTGGAATGGTATCGTACAATTAATCTTCTCCTATACAGACGCCCCCCCTCTGCTCGCTCGATGCGTTTCGTTCCGCACAGCGTACAGAATGGAGCTACACAGCGTCCGCAGTGTTAACGGCCAGCGCGGCGGGCGTGGGCGCGCGCGCCTGCTGCCTTGGTTTCATGCTTACATAAAAACGTAAAATCTCGTCGGCATAAATACTACAGACATGCTTCATCCCGGGCTCGGGCGGGGTCCTCTGCGTGCACCCGCCTCCGCCCGCGTGTCCCCCGGAGCACAGGGTCTCGCTGCAAGCGCGTGAGCGGGCGGAAGGAGCCGCGGGCCAAGCAAAAACTTCCCTCGGTTCCACGGGCTCGACTGTGTTCTTGTCTCCTGCGCCGGGCGGGTGGGGCCGTCTCTGCCTCCCTTCTGTAAACAAGGACCTGTGTTTCCCTTTTAGGAGCAGAGTCGGCGCCCAGGTCGCGGAGCAGGATCTCGCTCTGGGTCCAGCGAGCGTGATCGGATGGAGCAGGAGCGGGGGGCCGGGGAGGGCCGGGGGCGTGATGGATGTGCCCGCGACGGCAGAGTCTGTGCCAGAACCACGTCCCCGTGGGCCGCCTCCACACGGACGGACAGACGGAGGGGCCACGGGCCACCCTTCTCCAACGCCAGGGCGTCCTCTGTGTTGCTGGGTGTGTTTTCCTAACGGCTTCTCTTTTTCCTTTTTTACCTTTTATAAGTTAAGGTCCATACAAATATAAAAAGGGGGAGGTACTCTAAGTTCAGGGACATCCACAAATTGTACACTATTTACATCGAGAGCCCAAGTCCGTGTGGGTGTGACCGGTCCTCGGAGCGAGCGTGGACGTGTGTAGTGTGGGGCCCTCCGTGGGGGGAGGGGCCGTGCCCGCGCGGAGCCCCGGGTCCGAAGGGCGAGACCTCACATCTGGGCACCGAGTCCCAGCGGCCCGGGGTCCGCGCTCTTCCGCCCCCGTGGGGCCGGGGCGGGCGGCGCGGGGCCCGGGGCGGCCCTAGTCCCAGAAGGCGTCCAGCCGAGACTCTTTCGGGAGGAGGCTCTTCGCGCTGCTGCTGTGCTCGGAGCGCGATGGTCCTCGCTTCTCCTCGCTGCTGCCGCCGCCGCTCCAGCCCCCGGACTTACCGCCCCGGGCGTGGTCTGGGGAGAAAGCAACAGAGAGAAAGGCTCAGCCTCCCACCGCCTCCACAGGAGCGGCGCTCCCCGAAGCCCGCCCTGCACCCCTCCGCCCACACTGCACCCTCTCCTTCCGCCTGCACCCTCTCCTTCCGCCTGCACCCTCTCCGCCCGCCCTGCTCCCCTCTCCGCCCGCCCTGCTCCCCTCTCTGCCCGCCCTGGGCCCCGCCCCCTGCATGGCCACCCCGCGTCCTGGAGCGGGTGGGTCTGCAGAAGACCAAGGCAGACGGTGCATCTCCTTAGGATAAGGTGACCAGATGTCCCGCTTTTGGCGGGAGTGTCTCAATTTTTAACAATGTGTCCCATGGCGTTTCAAAAACAGTTTTGAAACTGGGACAAATTGTCCAAAAGCGGGACATCTGGTCACTTTACCTTAAGATGTCACCGCACTGGCTGGAAAGACGGGAGGGTGTCATGCTCACAGAGAAGGAAGAGGAGAAGGAAATGGCCAAGGAAGGCCTCTCGGGGGCGGTGCCCGTACCCGGGCATCTTCAGGACGTGACACTGAGCACCCGGAGCACCGCGGCCGACCTCAGGCACAGGGAGAGGCCCCACCGAGTGTGAACGTGTGGTCTGCCGACTTAACGCCAAGTTTCTCTGATCAACGTAAAGGCAACTCGAGAAACAGACGGAACCCAAACCACCCAGAGGAGCAGATGACAGAGGAGGAGGAGGAGAGGGGACCAGAACGGCCAAGGCCAGCAGGGAGCACAGACCACTGGCCCCCGGAAGGACGAGCCAGAGGGAGGGTCACCACGGAGTGCGGAGCCGGCGTCAAGGACCACGAGGTGTGTGATGTGAGACTCGAGGAGCCGCAGCGGCAGACAGGTAGGTACCCGTGACACTGTCCCCCAGTCCAGGCGTGCGGGCTCCCTGGACAGGCGCCTACGGGAGCCTGGCAGCGAGCCCCTAGGCCTGCACACTGAGGCCATGAACCGGCTCCGATAGAAAGACCGGAGCACAGCTTTGTGCAGAGCCTCCAGGGGGCGGGGGGTACTAGCTGACTGAAAGACGTCCACTTCAAGTTTAGAGGCAGGGATCCAAATGAGGGGGGAGGGGGCCGTGTCCTCGGTGGGGGGAAAGGGGGTGAGCTGTCAGGAAGGGCAGGAAGAGAATGACGGGATCTCCAAGGTGAGTCCTCACAGAGGAGCTTCCTGATCACTGCATCATGGACCCTCAGAGCGGGGTTGGGGCGGCCTTTTTTTACTTTTAATTTTTTCAATTAGTTTACGTTCAACATTATTTTGTGTTAGTGTAGGGTGTACAGCCTAGGGGTTAGACAATCATAAACTTTACAAAGGGATCCCCCTGACACCATATGGTAGTCATGAACCATGTCACTGACTCTGTGTCCTATGTTGTACATCACGTCCCTCAGACTATTTTGTAACGACCCATCTGGACTTCTCTGGGGCCAGCTCCACCTTAACAGCCCCGACTCTGCCTCTTCGTAGCATTCTGCCCGATCGGATTGCCTACATCAAGCATGTCAAACGTACGGCCTGCGGGCCCGTGCCTCTTTATCTGGCCCGCGTCAGCCTGTGAGTTGGACGTGCGTGGCTGTGGCGCCATCAGTCCTTCTGGAAGGACCCTGGGGAGCGCTGAGGCTGGTCAGCCCCGAACGTGAGAAGTCCCTGCAGCCATGCAGTAAGCCCCAGCGAGTGCCCTGCTTGGGGGAGCGCGGAGGACTGGGTGCGGGGCTGAGAGGACAGTACCTGGGGGGCCTGCGCCCCACACGGACAGAGCGGGGGGAGGATCGGTGTTCACCGGGGGCCTTTTAGGAAAAGAGCGAGGAAGTCCCCATCGAGAAACCAAACCATACGTTCTGGCCGTTTCCATGGCCACCAGAGGGCCCGTTACCAAGACATACAAGCCCACAAAGCGAGACCTATCACTCAGAAGAACGGAAGAGGACACACCCCCACAGAAGCGCACCCCCGGCCTCCGCCTGCCAGGAGGGGGCCGGGCGGCTCCGGGGGGCCGGGCAGGTGGGGTGCGGCTGGAGGTCAGTGGCGGCTGGGGCAGAGGCAGGTGGTTGCTAACTGAGGAGATAGCACAGGCATCCTCAGAGTCTGTCCGCTCAGATCCACACCCCCGAGTGCTCACCATCGCTGGGCCTCGTCAGACCACCGCTCTGAGCACCGCCTCTCCACTCCGGGGCTCACAGGGGACACTAACGCTTTTTGAAAATGACTACCAAACCATCGGCAGGATCGCTGGACACAGCCCGACATGACAGATGGAAATAAGATATGCACGACATCAAAGCAACTCTGGAGCCACAGATCCTCTGCATTGGAAAGCAAACTCCTCGGAACCGTGATCTCTGCCAACCGCCAGACCCCAGCAAGGTGGGAGGCGGCGCCAGGCAATGCCGATTGCAGAGGGCAAGGAGTAGCTAATCCACGGCCACGTGGACACAGAGGAGGGAGGAGGGAGGAGGGAGGCGAAGAAGGGGCACAGGGGGTGCGGGCTGAGGATGGGGCTGCAGACGCGCTGTCAGGTGAGCCACAGTCTCGGCTCCGATGGCAGGACACCCACCCATCATGTCAGAAACTGAAGAGTCAAAAACGAGAGACATGAAAGACGTCTCTATAAAATAGCTGAGAACGGCGAAGAGCTTGTTAGGAAACAGCTGGAGACACGATCCAGGGGGAAACAGGAGCTCCAGGAACTAGCCAGGCCGCCCAGGAGCGGAAATGTGATCCCGCACACGGATGCCGGGACCAAGGGGACAGCCTCCGACACAGAAACACAGGGCCGTGCATTTCAATCCCCAGGCGGGCCCCCAGCCCCCAGCGGGAAGACAACTGCAGCCACAGAACCGCTCCCGTCCTCAGCCTCGACGAAGGCGCGTCGGAGTGGAGAAGACGGGAGTGCGGACGGACCAGGCAGGAGAAGTGAAGGAGGAGACCGGCCACCAGGCGATGGAGCAGGACTGCCTCGAGCTGGCAGAAGAGGAGCCAGAGGGTAAGACTTGCCTCTGACCAGGGAACTCAGAGACATAAAATAGTGGCAAGTAGCTTGGGATGAAATGGAAGAGACGTCGTCTATGACCCTAACTCTCATCTTTTTTCTTTTTTTTAATTTAAATTCTTTATTGTTTAAAGTATTACATGAATCTCCTTTCCCCCCCATTGACCTCTCCCCAGCCACTCGCACCCGCAGCACATGCCCTCACCCCCCCTACTGTCTGTGTCCATTGGTTATGCTCATATGCATGCATACAAGTCCTTTGGTTGATGTCTTACCCCCCACACCTTCCTTAACCCTGCCTTCCCTCATAGGCTGGACAGTCTGTTTGAGGCTTCATCTCTGGTTCTGTTTTTTGTCCATTTTGTGTTCATTATATTCCACAAATGCCTACCTCTCATCTTTTAAAGCTGGAAATCAATGAGCAATTTCTAAAGATAAAGCCCATGGGAGCGGCCAGGCCCGAATCAGCCGGGTCTGGTGCGGCCAGGCCCGGAGAAGCGGCTGTCAGGCTGGGAGCAGCCGGGCCCGGAGCAATTGGGCCCAGAGCAGCCGAGTCGGGTGTGGCCAGGCCTGTAGCAGCAACAGCCAAGTCCAGAGCAACTGGGTCAGGAGCGGCAGTGACCAGACACGGAGCAGCTGGTTGTGGAACAAACCAGAGCAACAGAGGCCAGGCCCGGAGCAGCCAGGCCCAAAACAGCTCGCTCCTCACCTGCCCCTGCCCCACGGCTGCCTCTCAGACATGGCTGGAAACTTTTGCGGGAACTTGAGGGTCTGCTGAATCAAGTGATAAAGGCTTAGATCTGGATGTGTTGAGTTAGTATAGGGCTGGGGTGTTGATCTGTGAGTGCCTTGGGTGGGGCCTGGATGAGGCTGGTTGTCCTATTAGGAAATGTCTTTTGTGTGAAGTGTATCGCCCAGCCAAAACTGGTTTGGCTCAATGGATAGAGCGTCGGCTTGGGGACCAAAAGGTCCCGGGTTCGATTCTGATCAAGGGCATGTACCTTGGTTTCGGGCATATCCCCAGTAGGGGGTGTGCAAGAGGCAGCTGATCGATGACTCTCTCTCATCGATGTTTCTAACTCTCTATCTCTCTCCCTTCCTCTCTGTACAAAATCAATAAAATATATTTTTTTAAAAAGATAAAGCCCAGAACCAGAGTGTAGGGAAGGACCTTATTTACAAGTAAACAGGTGAGTTCCACATGCATCGCACACAGCAGTGAGGCTGGGACTGGGCCTTGATTCTCCCCATGCCTTATTTCCTCGAATTCTATGCACATAATGCCTTAGTCACATTTTTCAATTTAAGAGACAGGCCCGTGCCCACCCAGGGAAGCTCAGACTCCCTACTAAACCTCTCTCCCTTCCAACTAGACTCCTCCCTCCTCTCGCCATCCTGGTACCAGACGCCTAGAAAGAGCTCAGAACCCCAGTGTTCTACTGAGCCCACTGCCCTCCACCAAGATTTCACCTGCATCGTCCCCGACAGCAAGGCTGGCAGAAGCTCAGCCATATGCCTCAACCTTCTGCAAAAAGTCCAGTGCTACACACCCTCCAGGAATCTAAAGTAGAATTGGGGGGGGGGGGCGGGACCTTCCCCTCCTTCTCCTGCTACCCTGCCCAGTCCACAGACTCCTGGGCCAAACCTACCAGAGCTTCCACCAGCATCTACCAGAGCGTCCTGCCTCCTCTCTCCTACAGGTTACTTAATTCATATAAAACAGAAACCGGTTCGGCTCAGTGGATAGAGCATCAACCTATGGACTGAAAGGTCCCAGGTTCAATTTTGGTCAAGGGCATGTACCTTGGTTGCGGGCACATCTTGTGCAGGAGGCAGCTGATCAGTGTTTCTCATCTGATGCTTCTAACTATCTTTCTCCCTTCCTCTCTGTAAAAAATCAATAAAATATATTAAAACAAACAACTTTCTTTCCCACCCCCGTGGGTTGTGTGCTTTAGGTTAGAGTCAGCCAGCGATGGCCCAGATCCAGCCCAAGGACCATTTTTCCAAATAGTTTCACTGGAGCCTGTCCATCCTCCCTGACGGACATGTTATCTGTGTCTGCTTTCACCCGGCAGGGGCCCAGGTGGCCCTAAGTTTCACAGTGTTTGCTGACCGCTGGGCTAGGATACACCTCATTCGCCTCTGAACTGGAATACGATGCAGCTCCCAACCACAGTCCCGTCAACAACCCGGTCTATTCCAGCAGATTCCACACACCACGGCATCGGCCATTTCCCATCAGCCTTGTGGATCCCACCACCTGGCTGCTGCACAACCTCCACAGCGCCCCCTGTCTGAAACAGCGTTTCTCCAGCGTGGGCCTTTCTCACACCACCTGCACAACTGGACACACCCACAACCCGCCTACATACCTCTTAGTTCATGTTTTTAGTTCAAACTCATGTTTAAACTGAAATAAAACGGACGCTTTTATAGCACCACCCCAGGCAGAAAGTCATTGATACTTGCCCATGCGTAGAAGGCAACTCTCACACAAACACAGTGAAAAGCAAATTGTAGTATTAACTTGTTAGGTGGGCACCACGCCACTCAGGTGCACAGCCTGCTCTCTCTGTTAGAAAGGGGACTAGAAAATATCAAAAGCAAAAGCCATTTCCGCGCCAAATGCATCTGTTCTCAGAGATTCTGTAAGGAATCGGGGGAAGGAGGGACAAGTAACTTTTTCAATAGGTGGTTCACTTGCATTCAATGCCAAGTTCATATTCTCCCTATAATCCGCTCATGCCATACTAACAGTGAATATCACTGCATCCTCCAAGCACTTCACATGCAGAAGTGACATAAAAATTCGTCTAGCAGGGAGAAAGGTCTTGGAGCTGAAAAACCTTGGATGAAGCAGAATTGCCCTCAGTGAAGAAGATACCTTCTTGGAACCCTTATGGAATGACCCAAAACAGGACAGAGACTCTGGGCCAGAAAGAAGGACAGCTCAAATCTCACGGAAGAGAAGAACCAAAATTCAGTCTTGGAAAATCTCCCAACACAGCCTGCCGGTTTATTTATTCCTCAGAGGAACAATTTTTACAGCAAGATCATCCGCCTAAAATTTTTCTTCATTTCCCACAAGGCTCGAGTGCCCTCACCCACCGAACACAGGTGCTGGGAACTAAGTCCCCCTCGGTGTCATTTATTGTGGTCACTTCCCCGGGGGCAGAAGGACAGCCCCACCCCCAAAGCACGTCATCGCCTCCCCACCCAGGGCCCCAGCGGAACCCCCTGTCCAGGTGATGTCTCACGTGGCTCCCCAATAAGTAAATACAGCGGGTCCTCAAACTACACTGTTCTGTTCAGCGTCACTTCATGACAACACGGATGAGAGGCCGCAGCTTAACTGCTTGCACCCATTGGCCTACAGGAAAACCAGTCCCGTCATACATGGTTTCCCTTCCAGCTGCCCAACCATCGGCAGCACTGAGCGAGGACTTATTGTTCGGGCAAACGCGGGCCACGTCAGAGGTGTCTGGACTCCCTCACCGCCCCTCACCCACCCAGGGCACCCCCAAGGATCCCTAAGGATCCACGGTCGTCTGAAATCCAATAACCTTCGAGTTCTCTCTAAGGAAATGGCTTCCCCTCTGCCCGACCCACCAGGGGGCAACGTACCAGAGCCTTGGTTGGAGCCTAAGAGAATGGAGGAGGGCGTCTCCCTGGAGCCAGAAAGGTCGAGGGTCTAGAAATACAAAGAGAGAGAGAGAGATGGACTCGCGGCACTGGGGCCAATGCAGCCCCCAGGGGAGTCCAAGGGTCCTGGGGGGCCGGCGCTCCTTTCTGCCCCAAGGCACCTCTGTGCCCTCTGCCCGGTGGCACAGGCAGCAGAGGCAGGTCAGCGGGAGTGGCCCCCTCCCTGTGCGCTGTCCCCAGGCCCCACAGGCTGGACCACAGCCCCGGGGCGGCCCTAACTCAACCCTCAGCCTCAGCTCCCAGGACACTCGCTGCCTCCGCACCTCCACTCGCTGGCCTGCCAGCCCTCCGCGTCATGGCCTCTCCAACGAGGAAGCCTGTTCCTCCAAAACGGTGTGCGTTCACTTTGCTCTCACACTAACCTCTAACCAGGAATATCACTGAAATCAACAGGATCTGACTGACGGGATAATGACCTCTCTCTCCTTACACACACTGAAATACAGGCATGACGACCAAACGTGCAGAAGGTTACCCACAGGCCAGTAACATCCCATTGACAGACAACCCGTCGGACACCCCACTCGCTGCGGGAGCGAGATGCAGCCTTTGCCACCCGCCCGCAGCCACGAGGCACAGGGGACCATGGGGAGCTAAGCCACTCGGCACACCAGCCGCAGGCCCAGTGCCCGGGTGGCTCGTGGCTGCAGACCGGGCAGAGCAGACTCCACAGGCCCAGCCCCTCAGAAGGTTCCACCAGACAAGCTGTTCTAAACTCACATCGCGGGGAGCAGCTGTCACTCACACCCATGTCACCTGGACTCCTTAACCCCTGCCCCTGCCCGGGTGGGTGCCCGCCGGGGAGAGGCGGCCTAAGGCCCATCCCCACCCGCAGCCTGGAAGACAGACAGATCTACGGCCACGGGTGGGCGCGTGTCCGGGGTGGCAGGCCCGGGGTCAAGAACTAGACTCCACCGCCCAGCGGATGGGCGTCGCCAGCGATGGCGTGCGGGACTCACCGAGCCGCTGTCCTTGCTTTTCTCGGCAGCCGTCTCCTTCTCTTTCGAGGCGTTGGCGGTGTCGGAAGGGGCTGCCGGCGTGCTGGCCGAGGAGCCCTGGGAGGACTTGTTGGGTGTTTCTGTGTTCGACTCAGAGTCTCCTTCCTGCTGTGGGGCGGTAGCTGCGGGAGAAGGGGAGAGCAGAGTGAACCGAGTGCCATGGCCTCCGGACCTGCAGGGACCACAGCTCCGCACACGGGGGCGCCACGGCTCAGCACGTTGACCCACCCCTCAACACACTGACCCCCCCCCCCCCCAGGAGGCCAGCCCCACCCCGATTTCCAGAAGCTGAAATCCAGAGGAGGAAATAGGGTCCCGTTTATAGTCATTTGTATTTTCCTAAATGATTCTGGAGACAAAAGCGTGTTCGCAGAATGAAACGAAGGCCCAAAGGAGGAGCCAGCTACTGCTCACCTAGAACCACAAGCTCCCTAAGTTCTAGTTTCAGAACTAGCTCAGCCCCATGCACTGCTTCCTTCTGAGGTGGCGGGGAAACCCCCGAGAAAGACAACATGATGGTGAGAGGCGTGGAGCCTCAGGGGACAGAAGACCCCCGGACACCTGGAAAACTGGGGGTCTGAGAATTTCGGGAGGGTGGACATGATGCCGCCAAGGAAGGAAAGGAAAGCAGAAGGGTGCTGTGGCGTCTCGTAACAACGCAAGGGGATCTTCAAACACATTCCAGAACCTAGGAGATCCGAAGTCACTATCAGAAGACAGTTCCCTGAAGAAGGTTAAAGGGCACAGCAGTGTATGGTTCAAACTCGTCTTTTTAAAAATAACAATTTTTAACGGAAGATACTGAAGGTGCTTCTCAATCCTGGCCTTATGCTGTCACCTTTGAAAATCCTGCCCATCTACACACACACTACCTTGTCATATTATTTATGACTTCTACATTTAAATACTTAAAATGGGCGCTTCTAATTCTAAGCTAATAGGATTTGCCGTAAATAAAAGCTAGCTGTATACGTTGTTTTAAAAACAGAATTAATCCATTCTTGCGGGACAGTGTCTCCTGCCGGAGGCTCCTGGGCCGAGACGCGTGTGCCACGTGCTAGAAAGAGATGACAAGACGACCAGTTCCACACCCAGACCGTCTCCTTCACGCCGGCACTGGGATCCTGATGATGGAAAGCCCCAAGCCCCGGCTTCCCTGGCCAGCAGGCTTCCTCCACTTCGGTGTCACTGACAGACACCGACCAGATCCTTCTGAGTGTGGGCAACCACCCTGTGCCGCATCCCTGGGCCCTGCCTTCTAGATGCCAGTAGCCACCCCTCCACTACACCTGGAGGTCTGCGTCACTGCCCATGCCGTGGGAGACAGGACACGGAAATGGCTCCCACTGGGAAGCACTGCACCTCACGAGAAACCGAACTCCTCTGGGCTGGTATCACAAGCCCCACACTCCAGCAAACGTCAGAGTCTGAGGTTCCAAACACCTGCTCCTGCGGTCTCTGCTGTGTGTGTGTGTGTGTGTGTGTGTGTGTGTGTGTGTGTAGGGGAGACCGTGTGTGTGACGGTCGGACGGACAAGGGGCTGGGCAAGGCCCCCCACCGGGTCAGCCTCCCCTGTGCCCCATGGGAGCTGGGCTGGGCCCTGGCCGCACCTGACTGGGTGCAGGACTTCATGTGCTCGGGCCAGTGGGCCTGCTGGCAGGGGTAGTCGCAGTAGCTGGTGTTCCAGCAGCAGTAGAAAATGGCCTCCTTCTTGCAGTTGGCGCACCACTGCTTCTTCTTGGTCTCGTCCACCGCCTGCTGCTTCTCCTGCTCCAGCTGCTTCTTCACCTCACCGATGAGCCGGTCCCGCTCCTGCTCCAGGCTCTGCCGCATCTCCGCCATGGTCAGCTCTGGCGGAGGAGGGGAGAGGACCTGGCCTCAGTGCCTGTCCCTGGGCTGTTCAGACCAGATCTAATGCAAACCCCGGCTCGGAGATAGCCCTGCTTTTATCCCCGGGTCCTCCCGGGGGGCCTCTCCAGGAGCCAGCCACCACCCCCCACCCCCCCAGGTGTGGGACAACACCTGGTGCACATTTGACTCAGTTCACACCTGGCCCGACTCCAGAGGTTCAGGGTCGTTCCCGTCCCCAGCCCCACTCGGTGCGGACCCCTCCCCAGGCCTCACCCAGGTTGTGTTTCATCTCGGAGAGCTCCTGCTGGTGCAGCCACTGAAGCTTCTCGATCTCAATCCTCAGCCTGCGAATCTGCAATGGCAGAGAGGGGCTTACAGGGCGGGTCTGGGAGCCGCTCACCAGCGGGGCCCAGGAGCCCCTCGCCCTGGCTGTCAGGTCATCACGTGGTGGATGGAGAGCAGGCAGCCTGGATCTCAGCTGCTCTCCTCCCGGCTCCAGCCCACAGAGAGGCCAGTGCTTAACCCAAATGCACAAGAAACTGGTTCAGAAAACTAAACATCCAGGTGAGTCACTCCTCTTTCCCGGGGCCTCTCCTAAGCCCTCCAGTCACACGGTGTCTGCCACCGGCCCCTCACGGCGCCTTCCTGAAGACCCTCCCTCCGCTGCCGGGCGCCAGGCTGAGCCACCCGGCCCTCACCGGTCAGTGATGTGGCCTGGGATTCCCAAGCTTCTCCATGTCCCTCTCGGTGACCTCGAGAAATCCTGCCACTTCTCCTCCCACCCGCTGCCCGTTCTGCGCCTGGCTCGAAGGGAATTGGCCTCAGAGAGAAGTTGTGGAGGCCGCTTTTTGTAAGGGGTCACCTTGTCAGTGGGCGTTTTAGCTTTTCACGACTGGGTTCCCCAGGCTCGGGACACACGCTCTTAGACGACAAGGATCTCTTGTATAAAACGACCAAGGAGCCAAAACCGGTTTGGCTCAGTGGATAGAGCGTTGGTCTGCAGACTGAAGGGTCCCAGGTTCGATTCCGGTCAGGGCATGTACATTGGTTGTGGGCGCATCCCCGGTAGGGGATGTGCAGGAGGCAGCTGGTCGATGTTTCCCTCTCATCAATGTTTCTAGCTCTCTATCCCTCTCCTTTCCTCTTTGTGAAAAATCAATAAAATATATATATATTTTTTAAAAGACCAAGGGGCCAATCCTACATGGAGCACAAGAATCTGGTTCCCAGTTTCACCAGTGGGTTAACTCGGGCTCCGGTTGGGGCGGTTTTATGAAAAATGAACTGATCACACACAGCATCAGCCTTCCGGCTCAATGAGAAATACCCTCCCCAACTACTCCCATCAGCTGAGCACGCCCGGCGACCGGGCCAGCCCCTGAGGGAGTTCCAGAGAAGCTTCTCCATGGCGCTGTCCCACAGCGGCCTACAGACACGCGTAGCCGGGAGGGAGTTCGCCGCTGACTCTGACCTCGGCTATGGTGCTCCCGGTAGTGTTTTTGGAAAGGTCATTGTATATCTCTGTCATCGTTCCTTTGATGGCATCCATCATCTGAAAGACAGAGAGAGGAACCATTCAGACAACCCCTTCCTGAGGCTCTTCTAGATGGCGCACCTCAGAACCCCGCCCGTGTGAAGCAGCGGGTCTCACCTGGGGGCTCAGGATCGGAGGGAGGGGAGGGGTGGGAGGAGTGCCATTGGCATCTCGTGGGTAGAATCCAGAAGCGCCCTAAACACTGACAGTGCACAGAACAGCCCCCACATCAGAGTTAGCCAGTCCAAATGCCACTAGTGCCGAGGTAAGAAACCCTGAGGTGAACCAGGGTAGGGATCTCCTCACGTTCTCTGTCCCACACGCCAGGACAAGCTCACAGCCAAAAAGCCGGTTCCTACAGCCGCGGGCTAACTGCCACGCCATGGCCCCCGGGGGCATTGGAGTAGCCAGCACAGGGGTTCAAGGGAGGGATGTTTGGTTTTGTTGCTGTTGTTATTTAATTCTTTCTCTTTAAAAAACAAAACCGTTTTTATTGAGATACTAGAGTCTCAATGCATTAAAATAAGTGCAAGAGTAAGCCTTCCTTCTCCCGGCTGCCAGCACGGATTCCCTCCCAGCACCGGGGACCCGGGCTGCCTCCCTCCTCTGGCCACCTGCAGGCACCCAAGACCCGGCTGGCTTTCCTTGGGCCGCCTGCAGGCACCCAGGACCCGGGCTGGCTTCCCTCCAGCACTGGCTTCGTCAGGAAGGATGTCCGGAAGGTCATTCGGCTATTTGGTCTAATTACCATATTAGCTCTTTATGATGTAGGATCATTGATAAACCCTATATTTCACCCATTTACGGTGTATAATTCAGTGGCTGTCAGCAATATTCAGAGTTCTACATTTATCACCACAATCAATGTTAGAACCTTTCCATTACCCTAAAAAGAAACTCCACTCCTCTTTAACCTTCAAACTCCCCCCCTCAACACCCAAGACGCCCATCACCCCCCAGCCTCCCGACAACCACTCCTCTGCTCCCTATCTGTTCAGATCAGCTCACTCCAGGGAGTCCTTCGATGTGAAATTACTCAGCATGTGGTCCTCCAGGACCCGCCTCCTGGACAGAGCATACTCTCCTCAAGGTTTATCTGTTCCCAAAGGTGCATCCGCACTCAGTGCCTTTTTACGGCCGATAATATAGTCCATTGTGTAGATCACATGTGTCAAACACAAGGCCCGCGGGCCAAATCCGTCCCGCCAGGCCTTGCAATGTGGCCCGCACCGCGCTGTCATCACTGCACTCCGCTGCGTTTCCATCACAATGACAGTTTATGACTGTTCAGTAAACCATTCGGCCTGCGATTTAGGCTGGATTTTAGATTTTGGCCCCTTCTCTGATTGAGTTCGACACCCCTAGTGTAGATGTAGGTGGTTTTTTGTTTTTTTTTTTCAATATATTTTTGTTGATTTTTTACAGAGAGCAAGGAAGAGGGGTAGAGAGCTAGAAACATTGATGAGAGAGAAACATTAATCAGCTGCCTCCTCCACACCCCTCACTGGGGATGTGCCTAAAACCAAGGTACATGCCCTTAACCGGAGTCGAACCCAGGACCCTTCAGTCTGCAGGCTGACGCTCTATCCACTGAACCAAACCAGTTTTGGCTGGTTTGTTATTTTAACATCTTTGATGAGGGCATTGCCTTTCCAGTTTGTGTAACTGTCGGACCCGTGAGGGCATCGGCCAGTGTGTGACATCAGCTCAGGGCTACACGGCAGGTCCTCAGAAAGCTGAGGACCAAGTGTGTCTGCAGGGTGAATTCCTCACCTCCCTCCCACGCAGGCCCCTCCAGCATTGCCGGGAGAGAGTGGACAGAAGAACAAAGTAGGTCTTGGCCTGGCCTGGCTGCTGCCGAGTCTCCCCTGTGTTTTGCAGCTTCGACGCAGGACAAAGAGCACCCTGGGACCTAATGCCCGGGATCTGAACCCACCTCTACCTCTTACCTCCCAGCCTCAGTTTCCCCATGTAGAACACAAGGATAATAATGGTGTGTGTCGTCGCCGTGTCCTCCCACGCCCCCTCGCAGAGTGAGCACGAGGATTACCGTATTTTCCGGCGTATAAGACAACTTTTGAAATGAAAACAAGTCAACCGAAAATCGGGGGGGAGGGGGGGGGTCGTCTTATACACCGAGTATATCCCGAAAAACGTCTCGATATGCCGCTAAACGAATTTTCCAACTCAATCCCGCGCCAATCACTGCAAGGCTGCTCGGACCGCCTCTCTAACTCAGCCAATCCACACAGGCTTTTTATGCATGCAAATTATACATGTTCTGTACCCGAAGCTACACTGTGTTCTAGTAAAAAGCCTGCTCAGATTGGCCAGAGTCAGAGAGGCGGTCTATGAAAAAAAGAACTGGTGTTGCCTCGGAAGTGGGGGGTAGTCTTATACAGCGAATATAGGCCTACACCTATGTTCTAACTGTAAAATCAGGGGGTCATCTTATACGCCCGGTCGTCTTATATGCCGGGAAATACGGTAAACAAGAAAGCCACGTGCAGGTGGGGGTTCGGCCCCTGCCACACAGGTGTTCATAAAGAAATACCCGTTTGTCTGGTTTCCACAGGAAAATAAATCCCTGTGACCACGTGACTGCAAAAATCCTGCCAACCCCCAGAACAGTAACCCCAACTTGACCCCCAAACGGGGCGCTCCCCGCCGGTTGCAGGCCACGCTGGGACGCTGCCAGCAAAAACACGGCTTTCAGCAGCTCCGGGGGCCGTCGCCGGGCACGGCCCCTACCCCACTGCACGTCCACGCCGGCCTACCGCAGGAAAACGAACTGCCTGGCACGAGAACTTCAGAACACGGGCGGAATCCAATCCCTCCCGAACGCCACGGCCACATTCCATTCTAAAGAAATCACGGTCCGTGGACGGACTTTCACTCTCACTTCCACACACAGCCAAGAACGCCCCGCATCGAGGCGCCCTTCTGCCAAAACACACAGAGCTGGGGCTTCAGCTCGGGGTCACCCCGGAGGCTCCAAAGATATGTCCCCACGTCCATTTTCTTAACAGCAAGGAAAACTGCCGTCAGAAAGCTCACGCCTCACTGTTGCTGAAAGAGTGGAGTGAAAGGGGGAGGCAGAAGGGAACAACAGAACTGGCCATGGGAGCCCTGGCTGGTGTGGCTCAATGGGTGAGCGCCATCCCATGCACCAAAAAGGTTCAACGCCCGGTCAGGGCACATGCCCAGGTTTCAGGCTCAATCCCTAAAAGGGCGAGTGCAGGAAGCAGCCAATGGACTCACTGGTGTTTCCCTCCCTCCCTTTCCCTTCCTCCACTCTCTAAAATCAATCAATTTTTTTTTTATTTTTTTTTTTAATGGTTGCAGGAGCCGTGAACACTGGCTCCGTGAGAACCACTAGCCAAACCCAGGCCTCAGTTTTCTCATCTGTAATCAGACAGCTTGGACCAAATCAACGGAAGGCGATACACGCGTTAATTACAAGAAGGTCATGGGTGTCATGCCCGTGACATGATACGTGAGATGGAAACTTCCATCCAGCTCCCAGACTCTCCCTCCCTGGCTTTGGTGGAGCTCACTGCCATGTTGGGAAGGCCCACACAGCAAGGGTGGCTTCCAGGCCACAGCCAGCTGGGAACTGAGGGGGGAAAGGGGACCCTTCCCTGTAAAACCTTCCGGCGAAACCCTGACCCTCGGAGACACCTTGACTGTAGGCACCCAGCGGCCTGGAGACGGCTGGTGAGCCCGACCCAGACAGACAGGTAAGAAGCCTGTGAGAGCTGCGTCGTCTGTCATAAAGCCACAGGTAACATACAATTCCCTGACAGAGGAATTTCTTTAGACGAACGACAAAAACTCTCTGGTAAAAAGTTCTGTCTATGTTTCATGCCATCAGAAAAAAAAAGATCTCCTACCTTTCACACAATATCACAGCAACTCTTTATCATAAATAAGACTTCAAGAAACAGCCGTTCTTAACTATTTCCACCCATTCTCTCTATCAACGTAATAGCTTACTCATCAGTAACTAACTCACTTACTCTTAAAGAGTAAATTCTTGTATCCGCCTACTTAGCAACCTACTGAGTCGTCAGATGGATACTCACTAACTGCTGTTGACCGTTCCTGAGAGTGCCATACCCACAATGAGGAGTTAGGGAACCACAGGCACCCAGTCGGCACCAACCACCTACTGTGCGCCCGACCCTGTGGGGCTGTCACTCCGATGGTAGTTCTCACCACCGAGTGGTCTATGGGAATGGGCCTGCGAATCACGCCAAGCACACGCACAGGTCGCCGAGACTCCATGTCTTATTTCCTGGTTCAACAAGAGCGTAAGAGCACGTGGCAAATCGAGAGAGAAAAGAACGCACCTCGCGGAGAGAACACCCCCAGTGGGAATCCCGCCCGCCACACCACGCAACGAGGACCACGCCCCGGGGACGGGCCAGTCCCCCGAGAGAGGGCATTCCTCCCCAGGCCTCCGGGATCCTGGAAAGACCTAGGTGCGGGCATCAGACCTTGCATGCCTCCCATTTTGGGTTCCATGTGGCTTCTAAATGCAAAACAAACCAACCCCAAGTCTGCTGTTGACTGAAATTGTTCCTGCACTTAAGGAAAACCTGTCCTTCATGAGCAACTCAATTCTGAGGGTAATTCTGACCTTGGCCATCGTCTTCCTGTGAGGTAGACTTTAGACTCTGAGCCCTCTCGGAGTAAGCTTTAGTCTCTTCTACCTTTCTCTGCGGAGGTCCAACTTCAGACCCACAGGGAAGAATTCGGTCCTGGAGCTCCTCAGTAAAAAATGAGGTCTGCCCCCCTAAACAGCCCCCGAGAGCTGGGAGGTCATGACCCCAACAGCACCCATCAGGAAGCGGGTCCTGGGCGCGCCCGCCACCCGGTGCCCTGGCACTCACTTTGCTAGTGTACTTGGCGATGTCCGCGGCGACGTCGGCGGAGGCGGTGGCGATGGGGAGGTCTGCGCTGATTACGGAGGCCAGGGTGCTCGTGCCCCCCGAGCTGGTGACCAGGGGTGACGACTGAGTGCTGGTCACCAGGGTGATGGTGGAGGTGGACGGGCTCTGGGTGATCTCCTTCTGCTGGACGGCTGGGGAGACAAAGGGTCCCGGTCAGCCCGGCGGCAGGACGGCCCGTCCCCACGTGTAGCCGGGGTGAGGGCGGGAAACTGACCGCCGCCCTGCGTGTGAGCTCCTCCTTCTCAGGGACCGGGCGCTCTCCTGAACCAAACTCCAGCCAGGCCGTCCTGACTGACCCTCCAACGTGGTCTCTAAAGACTCCAACAAACCTCACGTGGCCTCCAAAGCCCCAGGCAGCATCCCCAGGGTGACCCCGCCTCCCGGAGAAATCGCAAGGTCACCCAAATACACAGCTGTTCCAGCCCAAACACTAACCATGAGGCACCTGGCTCCCAGCTCCCTCACTCTGATCGGGATCGGCCAGCAAATGCAGGTGGTTTCACATGGACCGGCCCCACCTCCCCCTTTTTGTAAGATTTCACTTCCCTGACTCTATTATAGAGTCCCCACTTGCCCCCCTTGCTGGTCCCTCATCCTCCTTTTAAATCAAAAGTTGACCTCAGCTCACAATGGACTGCTTTCCCTACTGCAGCAGGACACTGCTGGTTAAATCCTGTCCCTCCCACGTCAACCGGTGTCCAGCTTTGTTGGTCTCTGACACAAGACACCATGGACACTGAGAACCACACCACTGGGCCTTCTTCTTGCCTCAGCTCAGAGTGCTCCTGGGGTCCGAAGGCAGGAGCCTGGGACCAGCCATCCCCATCTCAGAACCCTATCAACTCGTTAAACAGCGAGATCAAACCAGCTGTACCCCAACTTGGCCTGTGCAATCTTCCCGTGTTCCTGCTCCCCAGTCTTTGAAGGGTTTCTATTGGGGGCGCAATGCAAGATCTGGCTGGCTGCCTTTTAACGTCCTGTCCCGATGCTACTCCTAAGAATCCTACTAGCCTGGCCGGTGCGGCTCAGGTGCTTGGAGCGTCATCCTGTACCCCAGAAGATGGCAGGTTCGATCCCTGGTCAGAGCACGAGCAACGTCTCTCTCACAACGATGTTCCTCTCTCTCTCCCTCACTTCCTCTCTAAGGTCAATTTAAGAGAGAGAGAGAGACTCAAAAGAAGAGCCCTAATCACTAGGGTGCACTCACTACACAGGAGTTTCCGTGAGGGAGCCCGACCTTCAAGGGTCTAGATGCAGGTGCCCCACGGAATAGGACCTATGCAGCGCTCATAGAAGCTGAGCCAACGGGCATCCACACGAAAGCGCTCTGCTGCCCCTTTGTCATCTCCAGATGGAGCCCCCTGCGCGGCTGGAGGAGATTTTTGTTCTGCACCTTCAGCAACCGGTTCCTGATGCTGGCTCTGCCTGTGGAGGTGGCTAACTCCTCCCCACTAAGGTAGCCTTGGCTACCACCTCCTCCCTGCACTCTTTCTAAAATAACGCGCAAAGGTTCACAACAGGCGCGCACGGGAAACGCACACGGCGGTAGGCATCGCAGCGCTGCCCCCGGGATCCGCCCGGGAGCACCCGTCACACCCACCGGGGAGCGCTGCGCAGCAGTCTCAAAGGATACGGGGGCGCTGTGTGTACGGACACGGACAGACCTCCAAAACATGCTGATGGTGAGAAACAATGGTACCACTTCACGTTGTAAAAAAAAGGAAAAAAGGAGGAGGAAAAAAAAAAGTCGTGTTGTCATGAAGAGCCATATATATGTATACATATATATGCACACATGCATAAAAATACCCTACGGTTCGCGGTGGCCGCTGAGAACGGGAGAAGCATAAAGCGAGAGGTCAGTGGATCGGGACTGGAGGCCCGGGTAAACATCCTGCCCCTCTTTAAGGAGACTACGCACATGGATCGTTTGCAAAACAAAACCAAACAAAAAAACTTTTTGAAATAAAAGTAAAGAAATCGAGTTGCGAAAGGACTTTTAAAAAAGAATGCCAAGTGGAATGTGTGCGGCCGTGGGGACACGGCGGCCAGGAAACAGAGGGGAACGGAGAAAAAATAAACAATGGTTTCTGTGCGGTGTCTCCTGCGCACGTGGCACAGAGGGCCGGGGTGCCAGGAGAGCAGAAGGGGAGCGCGGTACCTTTCACAGCCTGTCTGGTCTGATATCGCGTCCCCTGGGAAGACTGAGGCTGCTGCTGCTGGCTGTGCTGCTGCTGCTGCTGCTGCTGCTGGCGCTGCATCTTCTGCATGTGCCACTTTTGGGAGGACGTTTGAAACTTACTTGATGAGTTCCACACGACCCGCTGCACGACCGGGGCAGTCTCCTTCGGTAAGAGCGGCCTCTGCTTTTTCACCGGGCTTCCCGTGATGGCGGTGGTGGCGGTGGCGGTGGTGGCGGCGGTGGCAGCCGGGGCCGTGACCGTGGACGTGGTGCTGGTGGTGGCCGTGACCCCAGCGGCGGGCGTTTGGGAGGACGAGCGGGTGAGGACCGGCGTTTCGGGGGGAGACGGGCTGCCTGCCGTGGCGGACAGCAGTGGAGCTTTAGCTACGACGAGAGCCACTGCGTGGGAACAATCGAGAGTGGGTTTGAGTCAGGTGTGCTGGCACGGTCTCCACACCAGCCAGTTCTCAGGGAAACCACCGAAGGCCAAAGACGACCAACACATTCAGTGGGTGCTTAGGAGGCACGTTCTCACCCTATCTACTCAGCGCCTCAGCCTCATGTTGGAGACACATGTATCAGGCCCCTGGGGGACACAGGTGACCCAGGCCCTGCCCTCAAGGTCCCGTCAGCTCCTGGACTGGGGCCTGCATCGGTCTTGTTTTCCAAAGTTAGACCTGAGTAAACACTTGAGAAAGACCCAGCCCAAACTGAATTCAGAGACCCAGATGAACCCTGGGCGAGCCAGGTGGCTGCCCATTGGCCGAAGGCTGCACAACATTAAGTCGTTCTGCAATGAAGGCGTCCTTGTCATCTCTCCCGAGTCCCTCCAGGACAGAGTCTCAGCATGGTGGACCCCAACACCAAACACTAACAGGACGCCCGCCCCAAGACCAGAGCCTTCCCGACAATGGTATTTGGGAGCCTTGCTTGTGTGTTGACTGTATTTTCCCCGAGCTTGTGTGTTAGGTATAGCACACAATACTTCCTCTACGGTGAGGTGGCCAAGTGTCAGGCTAAAATAGGCTTAATTTTTTTAAAAAAGAGTCGCGCTCTTCAAATAAAAATATTAAGTCAGTAATGATTACCAGCAGGATTTGGGAATGGCAAGAAGAAACAACCATGAACGTCTGAAGTTTGAAGAAAGCCTTTCCTTCGGGGAGGAGTTGGGCTCTGGGGCCGGGGAGTGGGCAGAGGGGAGAGGCTGGAGCGGGACAGCCTTCGCCAAGACGTAAGTATTTAGGAACGGGAGCACTGCACTGCGGTAACGGAGGGAGGCAGCGAGGAGTGGCCGCTGGCAGATCAGAGCCAGGAGGGCTGAGCGCTGCAGAAGGGGATGACCGTGGGAGGGCGCCACTGGTCCAGGGCTGTTGGTTTTCACTGCAGAGGTCCCAGCCACCGGTGAGGAGCGCCCGAGAATCCATACAAAACTTGGGTGCACATCAGCACCCCGACCTGACCATGTGCCTGACCCCCAAACCTCTTCTCAGGAGGACTCGGCCTGTCTTTTTAGATTGGTGTCACCTGGAAAGATAGGCGCTTGGCTATTCTTTCTTCAGTGAGCTGGGGGTTTGGGACCTCCCAAGGAAACGAAGAAGACAAGCTGACTTTTCTGACTAAGGGGCTTTCTTGGTGGTTATCCCATCCGGCTGGCCCTCCTGATCCTCTGGAGGAGAGTTTGGCCAAGTTCAAGGGCAAGAGCACAGGGTGGGGCTGGACAGGGAGCTCTTCTCACAGTGAGGAGCCCCAATCCTTTTCCAGGACACCTGACCCTGGATCCCCCCTTCTAGCAAGGTGGCTTGGAACCAGGCCCTACTAAGAGCCCACAGGGGGCAGGGACCAGCAGGATGTCCAACCTGCAGAAGGACCTTCATTGCCTCGCCTTTTCTGCCATGTGACCCAAGAATATGCCGTGATTGCTGATTCGCTAGCCGAATCCTCCCTGGTGAAGAGGGCAGCCACCGGAAGGGCCGTGTTCGCACCCAGGCTCTGCCTGTGGTTACTGTTGTGCAGGGATCACGCCTGGCCCACTTTTCCAAAAAGCCAGGAGCGTGCAGTCTGAAAAGATTCCAGGCTCACAGTGCTCTTCGGGGGTTATTTAGACACAAAGATATTTTCGTTTCTAGGGGTTCTGATGACTTATGGAGAAGAAAGAAAGAAAGCAAGCCGTGGAAAATTCCACCTGTCCTGGAAATCCAGAGCGTCTGATCAATCACTTGTAGCCCAACAAAGGGTCACTCTCTTAAAGGCCAGCACACCAGGAACCGCCCACCAAACTGATCTGCTTATTCCAGAGCCTGGTGACTGTCGTGTGCCTGGAGGAGGACCTTTTAAGAGAAGGATGGCGATTCCTGATGTCACCGGTAAGCACAGCAAAGGTCTCCCGTGAACTCCCTCTGCCGCTGCCTGAGCCCACTGGCTGTCAACGCTGCTTTACTATTTGAGGATTCCTGCCAATCATTCACACGTTCCTTCCGGGGGTTTGCCAACGTGCCTGGGCCCTGCTGCCGGCAGCGGCCACTGCCGGTCCAGTCCACACAGCAGCATGCGAGCACTGCCGAGACAGTGGTTCTCACCTGCGGCAGAGTTTGCCTCCAGAGGGCACCTGGCAATGCCAAGCCGCTTTGAATGGCCTCAACTGGGCAGGTGCTCCAGTGGGGAGAAGCCAGGGATGCTGCCCAGCACCCCGCTGCACAGGACAAAGCGCTGCGCAGCACAACGTGTCAGCAATGCCGCTAGACTCCTAGTGCCCCAAGGAGTGCTCACCATCCTGGCACCACCTACCCACATGGTGCCGTGTTCTGTAAGGAAACGCACTTTGAGATGCCTGGGCCGCATGAGGGGAAGGAAGGGAAGCTAGACTTACCAAGACCTTCAAAGGGAACACTCCTAACAATTTCAATCTTGTCAAATGTCTAAATGTTGACAAATACTTCGGGAAAGTGAAAAAAACATGCCAGGGAAGAAGTGGCTTAGGCCAGTGGTCGGCAAACTCGTTCGTCAACTGAGCCAAATATCAACAGTACAACGACTGAAATTTCTTTTGGCAGCCGAAAGTTTTAAACGTGAACTTCTTCTCACGCCACTTCTTCAAAGTAGACTCGCCCAGGCCGTGGTATTTTGTGGAAGGGCCACACTCAAGGAGCCAAAGAGCCGCATGTGGCTCTCGAGCCGCAGTTTGCCGACCACGGGCTTAGGCTAAAAATAACTTGACTACCAAGAGCAACTTATTTTCTGAGAGATGTTTCTCAACTCAAAACTCAACGCAAAAATCACCCGTGCGGAGTACTGAGCAGGTGAGGGGTGGGCAGGCCCAGCTTGAGTCCTGGTCCTACCGGATAACCAGTGAGGTGACCGGGAGCCAAGCCCAGCTCCGCTCGGTCTCCTGTGCTGGCACCAGAGGGTCACACAGCTTCTGGTCACACAGAGGAAGGACGGCATTCCAAAACAAGCCAAGAAACAGGACACGGGCACCGTCACTTACCGTCCGGCTTGGGAGATGGTTCTTTGGATTCCTTCTTATTTTTGCGACCCTCCCGCCCAGAATGGTCTTCTCCCAAATCTATGACCAGTTCGCTCTCTGAGTCAGAGTCCAGGCCCAAGTGGACCGTGGGGGAGTCCGTCTCATCTTTCCCCTTCATCTTGTCCTTTGTGGGGAGAGGCGAGGGTTTGGCTTTCTCCGCGAAGTCCTTCTCGGGCGGGGGGCTCGCCTTGTCCTTGGCGGAGCCTGGCTCCGCCTTCTCGCCGGGAGGCGACAGGCTCTTCAGCTCCTCTTTGACCTCCACCGGGCTGGCCAGCTTGGGCTTGGCTTTGACGGCAGGCAGCTCTTTGTCCACCTGGGCGGCCTCTTTGTCTTCCACGTCTTCCGGCTCGTTCTTGGACTTCTGCTCGTCATCGCTGATGTACTCACTGTCGCTGCTGTCCGACTTCTCCGAATCCTCCGAGTCGCTGTGCTCGACGGCCGTATAGACGTCTTCCGAGATTTCGTTTATGCCTAAATTTAAAAAACAAAGAAAACAACCCAGCATGTGGCGTGGTCACACATAAAGAGCAGGACCAAAAAAACACGCAAACATGCCCCACGGCAAACGCTGGAAATAAAGGAAGAAAACATTTCAGCCGAAACCGGTTTGGCTCAGTGGATAGAGAGTCGGCCTTCGGAATGAAAGGTCCCAGGTTCGATTCCGGCCAAGGGAATGTACCTTGGTTGCAGGCACATCCCCAGTAGGGGGTGTGCAAGAGGCAGCTGATCGATGATTCTCTCTCATCGATGTTTCTAACTCTCTATCCCTCTCTCTTCCTCTCTGTAAAAAATCAATAAAATATATTTTAAAAAGCAAATAAAAAACAGCCGAAACCGGTTTGGCTCAGTGGATATAGAGCGTCAGCCTGCATGCAGACTGAAGGGTCCCGGGTTCGATTCCGGTCAAGGGCATGTACCTTGGTTGCGGGCACATCCCCAGTAGGGGGTATGCAAGAGGCAGCTGATTGATGTTTCTCTCTCATCGATGTTTCTAACTCTCTATCCTCTCTCTTCCTCTCTATAAAAAAATCAATAAAAAAAACATTGAAGAAAAAAAAAAAAAGCAGCCAGGATCCAACTGTGACTTCTCCTGGGTGGCATCCCCACAAATGATGATGACGATGATGGTGAACAAGAACCACAGACATACCTAGTTGTGCTTTGCAACTCTCTATCGTCTTGTCCAGGTTGAGCTGGAACCGGCTGCGGATCTGCCGCTTGGGAGAGATGAGCGGGACGGGGGCGGCCTGCTGCTGGACGGACTCGCTCAGCTGCTTCAGATCCATCTCGGCCTTGCTCCGATCTGGAAGAGACCGCCACGCCCTCATCAGACCGGGCCTCACAGGGGCGAACACACAACTCCCGGACGCTGCTTCCTTCTCGCAAACAACGCGTTTTAGAACAAGGGAGAGAAAAGACCTGAAACGTTTTTGTCATTTGTCCCAGAAGGATCATCGGCTCCATGACATGGGAGATAACAGCCCAAGAAAACACTTGGCAGGTTTACTCCGTATGTAGGACGCACGGTCCCGGCCAGATGGCTGTCAGTGGGACTCCGCACCGTTAGGGAATCTCGAACGCCAAAGGTTACAGTCAAACGCTCCATCTCAATATTGGCAGATCCAGTGACACGAGTCTGGCCAGACTGTGCTCTGAACGCCAAGCCCACATCAGAGAGACCTCGCATCCAAGAGACGCCGAGCCCCTCCGAGAACACCCCGATAACGGGGAGCTGGGGCTCCTCATTTATCACAGAAGCTTCAGTCTTCACGCTTCCCCAACCTGATCTGGAGCGCACATCAGCAAGGCAGAGAAAACGAGAAAAAGAGGCAGACCTGCCAGCCAGCCTGCCTGCTATAGCTCCCTCTGGCTCACAGCATCGGAGGAAAGGGAAAGATTAGCCCTGGATTAAATGTCTTCTCCCTCAGGTAAGGAGTCCAAGCTCCTCACCCTCGTCCCAGGCAAAGGCCTCTGACTGCTGACAACTCAACTCAGGCTGAGGTCCAGCCCCCACCCCCCTCTGCCATGGGCTCTTTAAGGGAGCAACTGGAGCAGATTCCATGAGTTTGCATTTCTTTCTTTTAATGCAAATGATTTTTGCCGTTAGTATTCTTTGATCAGTTTTTTTTTTTTTTTAAGATTTTTTATTGATTTTGAGAGAGAGGACGGGAGAGGGTGAGAGAGAGAAACACAGATGTGAGAGATGAAACGTCCATCAGCTGCTTCCTCCATACCCCCTACCAGGGATCAAGCCACAATGTGGGAAAGTGCCCTGAACAGGAATCAAACCCACCACCTTTCGGTGCACAGGACGATGCCCAATTAACTGAGCCACACAGGCCAAGGCACGTTTGCATTTCTGGAATTCCTTCCCTGCCTCCTCAGCTGCCTCCTCTAGCGTCCGGGAAACGTAAGAAGGGGACAAAATGAAGGTGACTGCCAAAACCAGTGTGGCTCAGTGGATAGAGCTTCGGCCTGTGGACTGAAAGGTCCCAGGTTCGATTCCGGTCAAGGGCATGTACCTTGGTTGCGGGCACATCCCCAGTAGGGGATGTGCAAGAGGCAGCTGATCGATGATTCTCTCTCATCGATGTTTCTAACTCTCTATCCCTCTCTCTTCCTCTCTGTAAAAACTCAATAAAAATATATATTAAAAAAAAAGAGTTAACAGTCTCAAAAAATAAAAATGAAGGTGACCACAAAGGCCCAGACGGGAGCTTTGCAGCCGGAGCATCATGGCTCACGCTGCCTGCCACCCTCGAACCAACCCCAAGCTGAGAACGTGGGCCTATGCCCTCCCCAGACTGATCCCAGAAGCTGTCAGAAAGCATGTGGCCTCAAGTCAGGGGCACAGAGAAGCTACCACTGAGCCTGTTTGCACCGGCTCACAGCTCACAGCCCGACTTCCCTTCCTCTCCCTGCTACACCCACCCAAAGGCGCCCCCTGCCGCCCCGGCTGGGAAGAGGCCAGGTCACAGTGAGAGCTGGGCCACAGGGCTGTGCAAAGCCTTCCCTCTCTCCCTTCAAGTTTGTTCCGTTTTCCAATCTGAATTACAAACCTTCTCCTTCGCTCAGGAATAGGCCACGTCCCCGCACTGCCCGCTCATACTCCTTCCTTAAAGTGACCACAGGTGGCCTGCCCAGTGCCCCACTCCGCACACGCACAGGTGATCAGAGCAACAGATTGCTCAAGACTTGATTTTATCACCACAACGAGGCCGCCCTGGGATTAGGACGGCCCTTTTCCCAAAAACACACTCGGAGCAGGCTGACAGGGAGATTCCAAGCGTGATAGCATCCTTGTCATTTAAAACAGACACTTGTGTGCATGTGTGTTGTGTGCGCGCTGACCAGGGCCTCTGCAGAGAGCCGGCAGCACAGGGACTGGGGACGCTCACAGGTGTGAATGCACAGCCACTTTGGAGGGAAAGAATTTACTGCAGAAGCACCTTACAAAGACAAGACAGAGGGAAGCAGTGATCAAATAGCAAGAAGGAGAAGGCGGAGGAGGAGGACCAGGGTAAAACGAGAAAAACAGACATAAATAGGATGTAAGGACTCAACATCTAAGCTCCAACCTTGACAGCAAAAGGAAGAATATGAGGTCTGCCTGATCATTTCTGCCTGATCGTTTCTGTTCTCAGACAGGAGGACGCGTATTGGATTCCAGAGGGAAAAGGCGGCCCTTTCAAGCATAAGTAAGAAAAGAAGTATCTTCACAGAAACACTGCGAGGTGGGGTGGAAGGAGGGATGCTACCCAAGCGATACGCTCCTCAATGTCCTCAGTAACATTCTCGTACAGTTCATCGGGTCCATGGAGCAGTTACAGAAAAACACGCTTACTATGTCCAGGGACCAGCAAACCTGTTCTGTAAAGGGCCGGGAATAAACTGTACGGACCACACAATACAGGATTTAGTGCAAAAGCGGAAAGAAACAATAAGTAAACAAATGAGCATGGCTGTGTTCCAATAAAACTTCATTTAAAAAGCAGGTGATGTGCCATCACCTGTATGAGTCCCTAGGACTGCTAACCTGGCTGCACATAGGTATTACCTGTAGAGCTTAAAAAAAAAAAAAAAAAAAAAAAAAAAATCCCAACACCTTGGCCACTGTCCCCAGAGACTGGCCTGGGGTACAGCCTGGGCACTGGCCTTTTAAAAGGGCCCTGGGTGATGCTGATGGCCACTAAGGTTGAGAACCCTGTATAAGACCACTGTGAGTGGAGAAAACGCCTCATGATCAGCCTGAACCCTGGCTTGTCTGGGCTGACACACAGAGCCGCGCTTCCAAACCTTAGGGTTCACAGGAAGAAACCTCCACCAAAGGGCCACATAAGGTAAGGCTGCCGGGTCAGGATGCTACTGGAATGTTCGTTCTGACCACAAACAGCCAGAGCCAGGGGCTGGGATCGGGTCCCTGGGGGTGGGCCTCCGGTTCAGCCAGATGTGGTGATCTTCCCGAAGCCCTCCTCCGCGGGCAGAGGAGACGGGCTGCTCTCTCACTCAGCTCCCAGTCGAGCCTTTCCACCCTGCACTTCCACATTGGGAGAATCTTCCGAGTCTGCCCCGGCTGCCAACATTTTGAACTTCCCAGCTGATATGAAGACAGCTCAGGCTACAAATGGAAACCGTGATTTAAAAACAACGAAACAAAAAAAACCCACGCTAGAGAAAGAGGCACGACCTTACATTTCTGGAGGGAGCACAGATCACAAGAGCCCCTTTAGGGGGCAATTGGCTGTCTGGACAGCCAGACGTCAGCTGCACGTGGCCTCTGACCCGGGTTCCACTTCTGGGGACTCATCCTGTGGATACACACTGCCGTGTGGACAGCTGTTACCATCAGCAGAGAGAGAGAGAGAGAAAGAGGGGGGGGGGGGGAGAGAAACAACCTAGATGCCATGAGTAAGGGCCTGGTTAAGGAAGGCACAGCTCACCTGGAAATGCACTAAACGCAGCTGCTGAAACGGGGGGAGGTCTCTGTGCATTGCTATGGGCGACCCGCCCGCTTACTGAGGAGGGCACAATGGATAGCGCCTCCAGCACTGGTGGGGGAGAAAGGAGGAAACGGAGCAAAGATATGAATAACCTGTGTTTGTGGGGCTTCTCAATGCTGGCGCTCAGACATCCGGGCCGAACAGGTCTCCATTAGGGGCAGCGGCGGGCTGCCCTGTGCATTATAGGATGCTTAGCAGCAACCCCAACCTCCACCCCCAGGTACCAGTCAAGGCACGTGCAGGAGGCAACAAGTTGGTGTCTCTCTCACATCCATGTTCCTCTTTACCCCCCTCCTTCCATCCCTCTTTCCCTTTCTGAAAAGCAATGGAAAAAAATGTCCTCATGTAAGGATTAATCAAACCACAACAAAACCAGTAAGCTTTTTTTTTTTTTTTTCTTTTTTTTTTTTTAAATATATATTTTATTGATTTTGTACAGAGAGGAAGGGAGAGAGATAGAGAGTCAGAAACATCGATGAGAGAGAGTCATCGATCAGCTGCCTCTTGCACACCCCCTACTGGGGATATGCCCGCAGCCAAGGTACATGCCCTTGACCGGAATCGAACCCGGGACCTTTCAGTCCCCAAGCCGACGCTCTATCCATTGAGCCAAACCGGTCCTGACAAAACCAGTAAGCTTTTTAAAAGAGAAATATAACCACTTCTTTTCCAGTTAAAAAAAAACTTCATTCAAAAGCTGCTGGGAAACTATCCCGGATGGACTTCCAGGAGCCACAAGATGGCAGCTCCTTCAGGGACGATGCTCAGACAGAAGCCTTGCAGCCATCTTCCTCCCTGCACTCACTGCCAAACACAAACCAAGCCCACCTCTGGGAAGCCCAGGCCCCAGCTCTCAGCCGGCTCTCCGAAGGCCTGGCTGCCAAGGCCCTGCTTTGTGGGAAAGAGAAAGGACTCCGACAGCCACCGGGAGGGACAGACAGGCAGGAACGCTCCATTGCTCAGTCATCACCCATACCCAGGCACCGGGCACCCTCCATGGGGGAGCAGCAAAGCACTCTGTCACCCCCAGGCCCAGGGTCTGCTGGGTGTGTCCAGCCCCAAGCAGAACCCTCTGTGAGATAAGAGGAGGTGAGAATTCACAGGCCAGGCCAGCCGGAATACAGACAAGGATCGGGGCCTCCTCTCTCCTGGTCTCACCAGTCCCCCTGACTTATGATGACGAGGTAAGCCACGGGAGGGCCCTGACAAGCCTCCAGGGTTCCCACGACTACTGGTTTGGAGCTGAGAGGAGAGGCGGCGTGTCAGCAGCAGCCGAGGGCGCTCTGCATCAAGCTTCCCCTCCTCCATGCACAGAAAGTACCGTATTTTTCGGACCATAAGACGCTCAGGACCATAAGATGCACCAGTTTTTAGAGAAAGGAAATGAAGAAAAAAAGATTCTGAAACAAATAGTGTCCTAAAATATTTTATGTGCATTAAAACCCAACATCACAGTCATAAACACATGTAATCAACCCTGTAAAGTAAACAGCAGCATTTAGAACCATTTTAGAGCAGGGCAAGCACACAGAGACCACACAGAGCCGGGCAAGTAAAAAAACTTTTTTTTAAAGTATATGTGTAGGCTATATTTGGACCATAAGACACAGGGACTTTTCCCCCCCACTTCTGGGGGGGAAAAAGTGCGTCTTATGATCCGAAAAATACGATAACTGTGAGAGCCGAAACCGGTTTGGCTCAGTGGTAGAGCATCGGTCTGCGGACTGAAAGGTCCCAGGTTCGATTCCGTCAAGGGCATGTACATCGGTTGTGAGCACATCCCCGGTAGCGGGTGTGCAAGAGGCAGCTGGTCGATGTTTCTCTCTTATCAACGTTTAGCTCTAGCTCTCTATCTCTCTCCCTTCCTCTCTGTAAAAAAATCAATAAAGTATATTTTTTTTAAAAAGAAAGAAAGTAACTGTGAGAGTCATCAAGCACCCACAGGTGACCCTGGGCTGGTTTCCATATTTTTAATTGTATGTATTTGGCCCAAGTAGAAATCTTTTCATTTTTTTATGAAATTGATCCCACATTTTTAAAACTAAGAGAACTCACAAACAAACAAAACCACAATTTCTGTTTTTCTGAAAATTCAGAATCTGACAACACAGGTTCAGGTGGCGGGAGCTGCTCCCTTTAAAAAGGCCCCCTGTCCTCCGGGCGATGCCCCGGTCTAAATCACCTCTCACATGGAAGTCAGCACAGGGCCCCATCTCCAGGCATTTCAGTTCCGTATCCCGGTGAAACGCTCAGTTACAGCCAAACGGGCCTGAGCCTGCGGGCCCAGCTTCTCCTTGAACCACGTGTGGCCCTGGGTGGGCAACTTCCCTCCCCCGGGCCTTCTGGGAAATGGGGCTATTACCTCCTACCTTGATGGCTGTTGCCATTTCTGAGTAGTTTTCATTTGCAGAGAGTCAAGTTCATGTGTGTGGGAGGGGATACCGTTCCGAGTCCTAACACCGGCAGAGACGTGTGTCACCACCACACACAGAATTCGGGACAATGCCATCTGCCACTGACTCCCTGAGATCAGAAACCGTCCCCAGCCCCCACCCCCGGCAATCACCGATCTGTCTGCCGCCATCACTGTAACCTTGCCTTTCTCGGTCTAATTTAATTAAATATTTTGTTAGATATAAAGACGTCATCAGTACCCCTGGCACTTCTGTCTGCTCATAGTAATCACACGAATGACAGACATAATGAAACACCGTACGGCTTTCATCCCCTCCCAGCGATGCTGGAAAGCATCTAGCATCCCCTTCCACTTCCCCATTTCTCTACCCATCCACGACTTTTCCCGGGTCCCTCTCCGATCCTCTTCCCTAAAACGCCCCCATTCCCAACGCTTCCCTTCGGGGACACATGAGGAACGTGTCCCCGAACGGGAAGGACTGTGGAGCTTCCACACGGGGGGGAAGGAGGGCCTGGTTCGGCTGTGCCCGCCCCCAAACGCCGGCGGGAAGCAGCCGAGCACTCCCACGGTGGTTCAGGCCGCACCGAGAGCCCCACGGGGTCCCGAGGATGCCCACGGCCCGCCTGGGCCACGGAAGGCGCTATTCCTGCCACGCATGGCTGGCAAAGAGGAAGCGTGACCGTGGGAACGCCTCCACAAGGCAATGCTTTTCGGGGTGCGGAGGTGGGCGGAAGGCATGGGAAAGCAAACCACACTGCTGGGCACGGTGACTGTTCCCCAAGGCAGCACACGGGTGGCCTTTTGTTCAAGGGAGCAGTTCCCACCCGTGAATCTGAACGGGAGCCCCCCTGTCCCCCCGACTGGTCAGTCACATCGGGGTGGCGCTGACGGTGACCGGGTGCTCAGGGCCCTGGCCTCCACGGGGCACAGGTCTGACCCGGCCCCGCCACCTTCGGGCTCTGCCATCCCCGGTGCCCAAAGCCACCCCTCCAGACCCGTTTCTCCTTCTGAAAAGGCCACTGCGGGAAGAGATGCCGGGAGGCACTGACCCCGAGGCTCTGTAGTCTCCCTGAGCCTCCTCCGAAAGCCCTGTCCTCAAGGCCCCGGGACCACACACACAGGCGGCTCGCTCCTGTCCACGCTCCTGTCCCCCTCCGGTGACCTGTCTCCACCCGCCCTTTACAACCTAGACCAGGGTCTCCATCTCAGCACTACCGCCGCTGGGACGAGAAAATTCCCTGACGGGGGGGTTAGGGGCAGGCTTCCTGGGCAGCGTAGGATGTAAAACCGCATCCCTGACCTGCAACCACTGAACCACTCAATGCCAGCAGCAGGCACCCCCTGCCCAGCTCTGAGCACCACTGCTCTAGCCTTCTCCTCCCACCCCCCCACCGTGTATAACCAAGATTCCCCGAATCACTCCTCCGGCCTAGACCTGGCCTCCAGGCACCAGAGTACAAAATCTACAACTGAACCTTGGCTCCCATTTCTCCCGCCACATCCGCTTTGTCACACCGTCACTGGCACAGCCCAGTAATCCCTAGCTTTGGCGGGCAGCCTGCTCTACCCACCGCAGGGTGGTCAACAGCATCCTGGCTTCTACACCCCAGATGCCAGCAGCACCCCCTCCCGCCCACCAGGTGTGACAACCAGAAAAGTCTCCAGACACTGCACGTACCCTCAGGGGAGGGGGGAACTGCCGGGTCTGGGAAGAGCGGACGTGGGCTAGTCTCCGAAGCCGCCAAGAATCCTTCTAAACTTCAGTCAGCTCACATCCTGCTCTGCTCAATCCAGGGTCCTCAGACCCCGTGCTCTCTAACCCACCTCCTAACCTCCTGTCAGTCCTGGGACACACCACCTGGGCCTCCTTGCCACTCCTCGCAAACACAGGATCCTTACCCTCAGGCCTGTAACGTTCTTGTTCCTTCTGGAATGTTCCTCCTCCTGGTCCTGCCACGACTGGTTTTTCCTGTCATGCAACTCTCCCCTCTAAATAGGCCTTCCCTGGCCCTTCCACCCACTGAACCACTGCCTCTTCTCCCCACCTACCTCTCTCCTTATCATATGAACATACTTTACCTTACGGAATGAACTGTCCTGTTTATCTACCTTGATGATTCTATGTTCCAATCTAGAACCCAAGCGCCGTAAGATCAGGGCTCCGGCACTCTGCCCCATGCCAACACAATTCACAGCACATAACAGATGCTCAATAAAAACTAGAAAACAGTGGAATGAATCAGGAAAGTAATCCTATCTAATATAGAGGGGATATGCTAATTGACCATCACACCCTCACAAAGATGGCAGCACCCACAGCCAATAAGGAGGGAATATGCTAATTGATCGTCACGCCCTCAAAGATGGCGGCATCCACAGCCACAAGATGGTGGAGCCCAGTCCCCTCAGCCTCCGAACTGCCCAGAGGGTGCCCCCCCTCCCCCGAGGCTCAGGTAACCAGGGCAGTGGGAGCAGCAGGAGTTTGATGGGAGCATCGCCGTCCACTAATCACCAGGTTGCCTCTCGCCCCTGAGGACTCCTGGACCGTGAGAGGGGGCAGGCCGAGCTGAGGGACACTCTCCCTTGTGTGAATTTTCATGCACCAGGCCTCTATAACTTCATAAACTTAGGTAATTAACATTTCCAATGCCAACTGCTGCTGAAGAATTTGATCTAAGAATATACTGCACATAAAAAAGGTAAATAGTGATTCATAATACTTGATATGCATGCACACACATATAACATCAAACATATGTATTTCACGTGAGAACTGGGTGGCCATGGTCAAAGGCAAGTACGGCTATAAACACTGGCCTAAGATGCTTCAACAGCCCCCAGGAGATCTCTCACTTGTCCCTTTTATGGACCCATCTTCCTGTTCCTCTACCTTTTCAACTGTTTACTCATCAAAAGCATTCAAGAACCACACCAAAGAGGCAATCACAACTCGCAACCATTTCCAGGTGCCCCAGCAAGAGACTTCCCAAAACCCCCACTGACCCAGGTTAAGGTTCAGGATGCTCCCGGTGGTGGCCATCTTGTCTGTCTTCGTGATGATTGGCGTGGACGCTTGAGGAGAGAAAGGTTTCGGGCTGCCGGACAAACTCCCTGCTTGGCCCGTCTTCATGGAGGCCGGCGACGCTGGAAAGATAAGGCACGTGTTAAAGGACAGTTACGCAGAAATAAACAAGTCAGACTTGCAGGTAGGTGTGGGGTGGGGAAGCGCAGAGAGAGTGTATCTGACTCCAGCAGGGGGGGAGCGGGCAGGGCTGGCCATTTGTTTCAAAGCAAAGGACTTCCCCCCCATGTTAAACAGCTACCCAGGCAGGAGGCCTCCCAGTTCCTCTATGAGGCACAAAGCTCTCAGGCAAATCGGCTAAGCTGCCACTGAAACTGGTTTGGCCCATAAATGGGTGTCAAAATCTCAAAATCAACAGCCATTTAAAGCAGCCCCCAGCACGGGCCAGACGCAGAGACCAGAGCCAGGCTTAGCAATGGCATGTCACCCATTTGTGGGAGACACAGGGGTCAGCCTCACAGCTGCTGCACCCCTCAGGAGAGCATGGGACACCCACTGCAAAGGTGCGATGCTGATGAAGCTAAATGCAGCCCCGATGTAGTGGAGAGACATTGGTCAACTACCCCCCCTTTACTGTGCTGGGTGCCTGCCTCAATGTCCTCACCTGGCCACGGGGATGCTCAGAATGAACACTCAGTAATGTCTACACCAGTACACCTGAGGTCACCTGCTCTCCAGCACCATCACACCCTCACAAAGATGGCAGCGCCCACAGCCAATAAGGAGGGAATATGCTAACTGACTGTCATGCCTTCAAAGATGGCAGCATGAACAGCCACAAGATGGCGGCGCCCAGTCCCCTCAGCCCCCCAGCCAACGCTGCCTTTAACGGAATGCAGTGGGAAAGACTCTGGATGCAGAGAGAAGTGGGCTCAGGCATGGGCTGGCAGCCAGACTGTGTGCACATCCCAGCTCTGCGGCTGACGTGTGTGACTTTGGGTGTGTTACCTCAAGTCTCTGAATCTCCTTTCCTGGCAGCCACCAGGAGGAACACGAACAATACGCTACAGAGGGAGGGTAACAGCACTACACTCATCCGTGGTGAATAAATGATTGTTATTCATTTATCCATCTCCAGTAGGGCGGTGTGCAGGAGGCAGCTGATTGATGTTTCTCTCTCATCGATGCTTCTAACTCTCTCTTCCTCTCCCTTTCTCTCTGTAAAAAGTCAATAAAATATTTTTTTAATTAAATGGAAATATTAAAGTTTCAAAGATAAATGTGAAGCAATGAGAATTTTGTCGGAAGTGTGGTACATTAAATCAGTAGCTCTCAATGGGGAATGGAGGGGTAACTGTATGCCCAGGGGACACGTGCCAATGTCTGGAGGCATTCTGGGGTCCTCACTGTGAACAGGGTGCGCTGCTGGCATCGCCTGGGTGGGAATCAGGAATGCTGCTAGGCAACCTACAGTGCCCAGGACAGTCCCAGCAGAGTGTCATCCGGCCCAAAGTGTCAGCAGGGCCAAGGCTGAGAAACCCCATTTGGAATCACGCGAGACATTTTCAAAAGCAATAAGACATTTGGAAACGCTCATTCCAATTAAGCTTTGAAACAGAGGCCAGTCCTTTTATAAAGCCGTAAATATGGCCCAAAGGAAAAACCATTGGCCTTTGAAGTCGCCAATAATTTAATAAGATTTTATACTTTGATGTGCAGTTTACGAGTGTGGGCTAAAGCACATCATTTATTATCTGCATTTGCAAAAGCCTCGCCTGTGCTAAGTGCTGCGCTGGCTACATGAAAACGGAGTCTTAGAATTAAGTTAGGAAAAGCGGCCCTTCCCGCCCTAGCACCCAGCCCTCCAGGAGGGTGGGGGTGAAGGAGGGGTGGGTTCATGTTAAATTTCCTCTGCTTATAAAACCTTGTAAACAATCTGTGTTCACAAGTCCTAGTGGTGTGCACGGATGAGCCACACAGAACATCACTGGACGGTCCTAGGACAGGACAGCAATGCTGTGTTGAAGGGTTACTTACTAGCATGAAAAGGCATTCAGAACACAAGGTTAAATTAAAAAAAAAAAAAAAACACACTCCCGTCTACACCAGACATTGCAAACAGGTGATACATGCACCAAGCAGTGCCCGGATGCGTCTGACCTAGCATATTACTGTTGTTGTTTTTAAATGAGCCAATAAATAAAAGTCTGGGTAGTTTGCATTTTAAAAAATATTCGAAACTTCTCTTGAACAACCAAAAATCTGGCAACACTCAGCCCCCACTCCCACGTGGCTATAGCCCGGAGGAGAAAAAGGCCCCAGTGGCCTTTAGGAAAAGGGATAGCTCAGCATAGCGTGCATCCGATTGTAAACACGGCGCCGCTCTGAGGAGTGCTGCACACACAAGCACACGTGTGTACATGTAATGCATCACGGTAAGGTGTATTTCTGCTTTAGCTCACTCCAGTCCCTACCACCACCACCACCACCACCCCCCGCCCTCTCATTTCCACACCCGCCTGGTCTCTGGACGTATTTGAGTTTTCAAATAAGAGAATGACGTAAACCAGCCTGGAGGAAGGACTGGGAACCAGGGAAGGGCTGGCGGTGGTAGGTGGTATCGTCTGTGGCTTCAGTCTTTGTAAAAAGAATTGTGGTATAAATACATATTGATTTCACACTACAAAGGAGTTTATGGACGTGTTTTTCCTTCTTCTTAACCAGTAACCCATACAGAGCTGTAAGACCGACGGACCTTTAGCTCACGGGCCCTAGGATTCTCATCCTAAAGCATATCAATGACTTAAATTGGGATCCCACAAGCAAATATTGACAACGGCATCAATTCTGGCCATGAGGTCTAAATAAAGGGGGAAGCAAAAAAAAAAAAAAAAAAAAAATCACTGAGAATATAGTAAACCACTTTGACCATTAAGACAATGGGATCCCAGTACAAGGGTTTGGGCCTCGCAAAATGCTTCTCCAAAAGCTAAGTCCACTTCTAAGGTCACAGACCCACAATTCTGAGCTCCTCAATCCACACACCCTCTCCCCTCACAAAAAAAGGTTTACAGTTTTATTTATTTCCATTTTATGTTGCTGGTTAAAAATTTTTCATTGCTGCCGAAGCCGGTTTGGCTCAGTGGTAGAGCGTCGGTCTGCGGACTGAAAGGTCCCGGGTTCGATTCCGGTCAAGGGCATGTACCTTGGTTGAGGGCACATCCCCGATGGGGGGTGTGCAAGAGGCAGCTGGACAATGTTTCTCTCTCATCGACATTTCTCTGTAAAAAATCAATAAAATATGTTTAAAAAAAATTTTTTTTCATTGCTGTAACTCTATGGTTTTTCTATTCTTATGGCAATCTTTTTTTTTTTTTTAACACAATTTTGGATAAATCACGGTCTTGTCTGACTATGGGAACATTTCAATAACTAGTCCACTTCTTCCAGTAAATGCTTTTATCACTGCAAACAGCAGAGGGCAGTAGAGGGCAATAGAAAGAAAACCAGACTAGCCATTTCTTTTTCTTTTTTTTCTTTTTTTTTCTTTTTTTTAATATATTTTATTGATTTTATGAAGAGAGGAAGGGAGAGAGATAGAGAGTTAGAAACATCGATGAGAGAGAGTCATCAATCAGCTGCCTCTTGCACACCCCCTACTGGGGATATGCCCGCAAACAAGGTACATGCCCTTGACCGAAATCGAACCCGGGACCCTTCAGTCCCCAAGCCGATGCTCTATCCATTGAGCCAAACCGGTCCCGGCCAGACTAGCCATTTCTACAGTAAGGTCCCGGCCAGACTAGCCATTTCTACAGTAAGGATGGGGCACTGGGAACCCTGGCACCTCCCCCACACTCTCCGAAGGGACCTCAACTTGCCTTCTGTAAAATGGGGAGACTGAACCAGTTTCTCTTCATCTATATAATAGAGGTTGGCGGACCAAGCTACGGGCCAGATCCAGCATACCACCTGTTCCTGTATGGCCTGCAAGCTAAGAAATTACTTATTTTGCCATTTTTATATGGTTGGGGAGGGGGGGGAAAGAGGGATCAAAAGGATTAATAATTCACTAAACATACAAATTATATGAAATTTACACGTTAGTGTCACAGCCACCTACTGCCTGTGGCTGTGTTAGTAACGATGACCATGTTGAATAGTTGCATGGTTGCGACAGAGGCCCACCAAGCCTAACACATTTACTATCGAGACCCTTACAGAAAAGGGGGCAATTTGTAAGATTAAAAACAACTTTGAGTATCACCTTCTCTTCCTGAACTACTCACTGGCTGTACAACTCAGGATTAGCCAAATGACCCAAGCACATCCCAGCAAGGGGATTGTATTTTGGGAGAAGGACTTGAAAGTCTACTAACTTAGGACCTAAAACGCTACTCAAATGATCAGGAACTGTGCCAGGACTTCTGATGTCCTTTCAAACTCTGTACCACCCAAGGGAAGAAAGAAGGAACTGGAAGTACTAGAACGTGGCAAAAATCGTGGCAATGCAGGTTCCGGCAACAGCGGTTCAGTTACAGCACCTTCTCAAAGCACGCTCTCCCCGGAGCCAGCAGGTTGGGAGTCTGTGCGATCGATTAGACACCGTGTTCTGTTAGCTGGGCGTGAGTGGCATCGGGCCGTGGAACAAAAGGAAGCATTTAAGGATGCTGGCCAGAAACTAAAGGGCGAGAGGGAAGCTCTGTCCTGAAACTATGTCCACACAAGTTACTGCGTACTGACCTAGAACAAAGGCGTCTATCTTACTATTCCCGGCACCATCCTAAGCCTCTGTGTACTCTGATTCGCTTAATCCTTCTCAGAACCTATGATGCAGATCCTTTCCCCATCATCCCGTTACAGATGCAGAAACGAAGGCAGAAGAGCTTAGGGACCCTGACTCCTGCCACGCAGGTGAAAGTGGCAGAACTGGGATCGGAGACCAGCGTCCTCATGCTTAACCACTCCGCTACCGCAAGTCTCACAATGCCAGGCAGCTGTTACACTGGGGACTTCTGAGGAGCGGGGCAGTTCCTGGGGCAAGAGGAGTACTGTTTACCCCGCCTGTTTCTCTGATGAGTAAGCATGAAATGATGTCAGTGCACAGGTTGGATAGAACCATGTTTCCATCAAAATAAAATTCTTGAGAAAGGAAAACTGGTGCGGGAAGTTGCTGGGATGCATCTAAGGGGCATTTGAGCTGAACCCGAAGGATTTCTAACCATCTCTGCCCACTTCTAGGAGTGACCTACAAGCTGGCCTGCTGGGAATGCTTCTATTTTTTGGTCCCCAACAGCAAGGATCCAGCTTCGTCCCTCTTTCCCCTGGAAGGAAACCCCAAGGATTCTCCCTGGGATTCTACGAAGCGGTCAGCACTGGCCACTGGTGTGGAAGCAGTAGAAATCCCGGAGGCAGCCGAAACCGGTTTGGCTCAGTAGATAGAGCATCGGCCTGTGGACTGAAGGGTCCCAGGTTTGATTCCGGTCAAGGGCAGGTTCCTTGGTGGCAGGCACATCCCCAGTGGGGGGTGTGCAGGAGGCAGCTGGTCGATCTTTCTCATCGATGTTTCTAACTCTCTATCCCTCTCCCTTCCTCTCTGTAAAACATCAATAAGATATTTAAAAAAGAAAGAGCCGAAACTGGTTTGGCTCAATGGATAGAGCATCAGCCTGTGGACTCCAGGATCCTGGGTTCGATTCTGGCCAAGGGCATGTACCTGAGTTGTGGGCACGTCCCCAGTAGGGGATGTGCAAGAGGCAGCTGATCGATGTTTCTCTCTCATCGACGTTTCTAGCTCTAGCTCTCTCTCTCTCTCTCTCTCTCCCTTCCTCTCTGTAAAAAATCAATAAAATATATTTTAAAAAAATAAAATAAAATAAAAAAGAAAAAGAAATCCCGGGGCTGACCTGTGCTCTTGTCCAGGAAGTCCATGGACTCCTCGCTGGCGCTGAAGTGGCTGGACAGGGCCTTCTTCTCGGGGTCCTGCTCCACGTCGGAGCCGGTGTGCACGGAGGAGTTGGTGCTCATGGGGGAGCGCGGCATGTCGGACAGGGAGATCCTGCGGCCGGCGCCCCCGCTCAGCATGGGCTTGCTCATCAGGATCTTGGGGGAGGCCGTCATGTCGAAGTTGAGCTTGACCTTCTCCTGCTTGTCTATCTTGGCGGCGCCGGCAGAGGGGTTGCTGGGGTCGAGCAGCATCTGGTACTGGCTGTTGGGCGTGTAGGGCGTCCTGAACGGGGAGTAGTTAAAAACCCCGAACTTCCTACGAATGTTCTCCACGTACACCTCCATCTCCTGCATTGCACTGTTGAAGATGCTCTTAGTCTTTTTCACAGAAAAAGGAATTTCTTTAGACATGAGGTAGCAATTATTTATGGGAACCCAGGCTCTAGGAGGGCAGGAGAGAAAGAGAGAGATTTTAAGTGGACGTTGGTCATTTCCAAGATTTTTACTTAACTTTTTAAAAACATTTACTTCGGGGCGGGGGAAGAGAACAGTAGTGGGGGGGGGAGGCAGTTATTAAAAAAAAAAACACAAAAAAAAAAAACATTTACTTCGTTGTGGTTAAGAACATTTAACAGTTCTACCGTCTTACCAAACGTGTAAGTGTATGGCACAGAATTGCCGGCTATGGGCACAAGGTTGTAGGTAAGGCAAGAAGATCTCTAGAGCGTATTCATAGTGTAACTGAATAATTATGCCTGTTAACTAATAATTCCCCAGCCCACCCCGAGCCCCTGGCAACCACGATGGCACCTGATTCTATGACTCTGGCATAGATTCTTCATATAAATGGAATCATGCAGTGTTTGTCCTTATATGATTGGCTTATTTCACTTAGCATGCTGTCCTCCCGTTTCAGCCGTGTTGTGGAATAATTTTTAAGGCTGAACAGTACTCCACTATGTATGCACACAACACTTCCCTTATTCACTCATCAGTCAATGGAACATTCGGATTGGTTTCAGAATTGGCTTTTCCCTAACACAAACCCAATCAGCCTCGTATGCTTGCCAAGATTCTTATAAATGCACATTCCTTTCCCTTGGTTTAAATGACCTGGTTTGAGTGGTTAATATACTGTATAATCCACTTAACACACATGATATGTCACCAGGACTGAACGCGACCATGAACTTAGCCAAAACATTAAAAGCCTCAATAGACTTAGTCATTTTAATCCATAAAAAATAACAACGCCCCTTTTGGCTTAGGGTTGGTAGAGAGTAAGAAGACAGTCACTGCATCTGAGACCACACCTGCCAAGAGAAAATTACTCCCCGGACTCACTATTTTGCACTCAAACAATAAAACATTTTCTCTTTTAAAATTGGGGTTCTCTAGATGGAGGGAGTGGGGCGGGGGGGGAGGGCAATCGGGGAAAAGGAGACACATGTATTACTTTAAACAAAAAAAAATTTTAATGAATTTTAAAACTGGGGTTCTCCATGGAACAAGGAGGAAACAGTGGAAAGCCATAACCTACAAGGAGGTGCATGGCTCTGAATGAGATACTCGCATGGAAAACCAGGAGCAAACAGCCCCTCACTCAGCCTTCAGCTGTGCGCCCTCCACTTCCCAGGCCGGTCCCACCTCCCTACTTTCCAACGCGCGCTCCCCCTCCCCATCCCCACCCCCCCTCACACACACACAAACACACCCCCGTGGGCTCTGCAGAGGCTGCATGAGAACATGAGCTGCTTTCCCGGAATCAGTGACCCACGTGACAGGAGATGGGCACACAACTCCCATGCTCTGGGGAAGGCAGAGCTGACACCGAAACATCCACGCTGTGTCTCAGGTCACACCTGGTTTGCAGCTGGGAATCTGGTAGGAGTGAGCTCTCCAAGCGTGGCTCCATTCTGCTATAGAGGCATCTCGGGGGAAGGGAGGGATGCTCATCCTGGAAGGAGTGGCTTCCCCCACTGCTGGCAGGGCTAACGGACACATCCCTATAGGCCAGCATACTGGCCCTGCACCACTGTGCGTGTCCACACACCTTGCCCAATGCAGTCCCTCACCCAAATCGAGCCCAACAGCTCAGCATGTTCCCCGAGGGGGCAGAGGACACCGAGGGAGCTCCAGAAAACCTGACCAGGTTTGTGCTGCTGTCTGAGAGGAAAAAAAAAACAGCCCCCAGAGCTAGCCAAGTTCACGCCCCAAAGCCTCCTTCCAGGGCGTCAGGAGAAAAAGGTCCGTGCACAGTGGCTCAGCTGAAAGTAGATTCTAGGGGTGGGGAACATCGGGTGCACAGGGGCCTGTATCCTAAGGCTACCCCATTGTTATCCTGCAGAACAAGAACAGCCCCAAACCTTCAGAACGGTTAACACCTGCATGTTCTAACGAAGAGGCGGGGGACAGGCACCTGCCACCAAGGCCTTTTGTCTTCAAATACAAGCCAGGCCCCTGACAGCAGCCCATGTGATCCGGGGACTGCCCAACCCCGAACCCCACGTCTGACCATCCTCTCCGCCCTCATCCTGGCTTTTCCCCGGCACCATGGGCCTTGGCCCTTCCGCGCCCGAGTCTCTGCTCTCTCTGGCCCCGCTACCCAGACCTTCACTGGGCCGCACCGTCCGGCCCCTGCTGACCCGAGAGCATCGTTCCTGCCTGTTTATTGTGTGTTATCAGTCTTGCCCGCTGGGATGCCACCCTCTTGATGGGCAGACACAGTGGTGTCTGCCTACCCAATCCTAAGGCCCTGGCATCCAGCACACAGCCTAGCCCACAGCAGGCACCAAATACCGATTTCTTTTTTCTTTTTCTTTTTCTTTTTTAACCCTTTGCACTCCGAACCATCCTGGACATTGGCTACCAGCTACTTGACACTACTTTGCGGCGTTGAATTAACTCAATTCCCCGTAATCACTAATAAACTGCAATGTCCCCCCTGAGAGGGGACATCCGAGTGCAAAGGGTTAATATATTTTATTGATCTTTTTACAGAGAGGAAGGGAGAGAGATAGAGAGCTAGAAACACCGATGAGAGAGAAGTATCGATCAGCTGCCTCTTGCACACCCCCTACTGGGGATGTGTCCGCAACCAATGTACATGCCCTTGACCGGAATCGAACCTGGGACCTTTTGATCCGCAGACCGACGCTCTACCACTCAGCCAAACCGGTTTCAGCCAAATACCTATTTCTTTGAGTGAACAAATAAAAGGAATTTTTAAGAGAGTTCCAACAAAAACAGTCAAAATCATGTAAAGGGTAATACCTCCTATCAAACCCTCCATCATCTCAGCTAACTTCCATTTCGTCTCCTGACATGGTTGGGCCTGGGTTCCTAGTCATTGGTTTTGTAGGTTATGTTGGAATTCACTCTTTTCTTTGACTGGCGAGATGATAAGCAACATTTACCAGCGAGTGGAGTACGGCAGATGCCGGTGCGATAGGAAATCGTGGCTGTGTGTGACCTTCAGCACTGTGTCTTTTACACCATCTCCCGCACACACTCCCACGCTTTTGTCAATTGGCTTCCAGAGGGCTTCTGCCTTATTTAATCATAACTTAACTCGCCAAAAGGGAGCTAAGATATTAGCTGCTGCTCATCTCAGCCTACCTGTGGCTCTCGAGCACGCAGGGGGCTGTGCTCCAACAGGAACTGCTAATCACCGGAGTAACTCCCTTCGCAGTGGAGAGGCTGGGAGGGAGGGCTCACACCTGCCAGAGTAGTCCCCCGTATAATTCCTCATTTAGCTTTAGAGAAGGGGGGGAGGAAGGAGCGGCAATAGGAGATCCATTTACCAGTAACCTGGGAGAAGACTTCTGATCACAGAAAGCATTATTTTTAAAAAGCCAGTTCGATTTACCCCAGGAAAAAAAGGGGGGAAAAAGAACAGCAGCCTTCAAAATAACCATGGAACCTTATTTTGGAGCTGGTTTCCACCAACGAAAGCACGAAAGCAAGATTCTCTCCTCACGTGCCTGAAAAAGCTGAAGCCCACGGCATTGTTTCCGGGCCAACACCCGGCCCAGGACAGGACTTTTAAACCACGGGATCACCGGTGGGTATCGTGACAATGAACACGAGAGCCATACCCTCAGCTCCTCCTCGTACCCACCGCCCGTATCCAAGGCTCAGGGAGAGCTACACGCTGGCAGCCCGTGTGCAACGCCCACCTGTCGTGTTGTCCAAAGAACCGGGCGTCCACCTGCCCATCTTTGTCCCTCAGCGCTTTGGCAGGCCAGAATGGGAAGCCCTTCAGTTTGGCCCAGACCAAAGGATGCGGATTGCTCTAGGAGAAGAAAACAAAATCCAGAGTCTGAATGCGTTTGGCAGAAAGAGGCAAATCGTAGCGCGTGGCACGTGGGGATGAAACGAAGCAGAGGGGACAGAGGCCACAAACTGGACAGCCTCCCAGGCGGTGTCCCCTGGGCGAAGACGGGGATGGGGGTACACGGTGACACCAGGAACTAAGCGCTGAGAAAACGGGGCTTGGACACTGGCTGGTGCCACGGTTACCTGGGTGGCCCTGAGTGAGACCCCACCTTTCTGTGCAAAACTCAGAGCCTCTGTGAAGGTGGAGGATTGCACGTGTGCTGCATTTGCATGTAATAAGGGGCAGGAGTGGCCTCTTTGGTTCTTTATGGAGAGCTCCTCAAACCCTCAACCATTTACGGGCCCATCTCCAGGGGCAGGGGGAGACAGAAACTGCTCCACCGCCACCAGCCCACGCCAAAGCTGCAATTCTCTACCCAGAACCCCAGGCTGGTCCATGCAGAACCACAAGGAAACTAGGGTGATTTTTCTCCCGACTCCCCCAACCACCATATTTAGAGAGACCATGGACGTAATCCAAGGAGGTATTTCCAAGCCTCTTAAAATCGATTTGTGAATGACACACTCAGTTAACACTTGTGTCACTCTCTGCACCGCGCCGGCCAGTCACCGCTCTCTCCATGGGGCCGCCAAAGAGGTTTCTCCCACCTGCGCTGCTCTCCCTCTGCCATAACTTCACCAGTGAAAACATTATTTAAAAACACCATCCAAAGTCTGGCCGCACAAGCCACTGAGAGAACACTGCCATGGGTAGTCAGTCATCCGGGCACAGAGCTCAGATAACGAAGCGAAGGAAATCCAACTTACACAAGGTTCACAAAACCAGTTGTCGCGTTTTTGGCAAGCAGCTAAGTAACACTCCGGACACACTTCGATTTCGTTCATCTGTAAAGCAGAAATAGGTTAGAAGGGGGCACGCCAGGGGGCATGCTAGGCCCTTGGGAAATGCAAGATGACATTGGCAACCAACAGTAACTGAACAAAGTCACACATTAGAAAGGCTCTCTCTCACCCAGCCCAGGCCGCTACCACCTCTCCTGGAACATATACCAGCTCCCTCTCACTCCCCACAGTCACAGCAGCCAGAGCCACCCTCTGCACGCATAATCTGGATCTTCTACCAGTGCTTCTTTACCACGGAGGCTTCACGCCTCCAGGAACTACTGGGGTCAGGGGAGGGAGGGGGGCGTGGTTTGCAGGGGGAACTAAGAGGTACAGAACAGTCCCCCACAACAGAGAAACCTTCCACCTCAAATGTCAGCAGTTCCAAAATTGAGAAACCAACAGTGAAATCTAAACACGTGATCAGTTCCTTCAAGACCAGGTGTGATCTGGCCTCATCCCCCTCCCTCCAACTTGCCAGGCTCAGTTTCTATGCATCTCTACTCACACCATCCAGACCAGCGGTCGGCAAACTGCAGCTCGCGGGCCACATGAGGCTCTCAAGCCTCGGTTTGCAGCTCTGTTGACTAATGAGTTTGCCGACCTCTGTCATATACCACCCTTTACCTCCTTGCACACAATATGCCACGATCGCCTAATCCTCACAGCTTCCGACTACACGGTAACGTTTAGTCTAGCAGTGGTCACCAAACTCATTAGCCAACAGAGCGGCAAGCCTGAGCTGCAGTTTGCTGTCTACTGACCCAGACGATTAGTTAATTCCTTGTTGCCCTATTTTACTGACAAAATACTTCCTATCCCTCTTTTTCTTTGAAATTTTATGTTTTCCATTGATTTTCTAGAGTAGGGGTGTCGAACTCAATCAGAGAAGGGGCCAAAATCTAAAATCCAGCCTAAATCGCGGGCCGAATGGTTTACTGAACAGTCATAAACTGTCATTGTGATGGAAGCGCAGCGGAGTGCAGTGATGACAGCGAGGTGCGGGCCACATTGCAAGGCCTGGCCGGACGGATTTGGCCCGAGGGCCTTGTGTTTGACATTTGACACATGTGTTCTAGAGAGTAGAGAACAAGAAGAGGAGGGTAGGTGGGTGGGAGGGAGAGAAACTGATGTGAGAAAGACTAATGAATTACATCAAGTGGTTGCTTCCCACACACACCCGGAGCCCCGAACATGGCTGGGGATCGAACTTGCAACCCAGGTGCATGCCCTTGACCAGAAATCGAACCCATGACCGTTCAGTTCCCGGGCCAGTGCTCCCAACATTGAGCAACACTGGCCAGGGCTCCTTCTCCCTCTGAAGAAGTGCATTTTCCTAAAATATCATCATGTCTTAGTACCAAGGGCCCTGGAAGCTCACGGAATGGATCTGAATTCAGACTCCACGGTTTCAGAGGGAAAACATGAGGAGCCAAGAAGTCAGGTAGCATGGCCACGGTCTCACCGCAGCCAGTGGCAGGGCCAGGAGCTGAACCCAGGCAGCCGGGCTCCAAAACCCACACACTTCTCCCCTGTCCTGTGAGCTGCTGCATCTTCTGTCACCACGAGACTTAGCTTTCTCTCCATCCCGCAAGGTGCCAAATACATGGCAGGCACTCAGTTAAGAATTAATTATTAGCCGAAACCGGTTTGGCTCAGTGGTAGAGCGTCGGTTTGCGGACTGAGGGGTCCCGGGTTCGATTCCGGTCAGGGGCATGTGCATTGGTTGCGGGCACATCCCCAGTGGGGGGTGTGCAAGAGGCAGCTGGTCGGTCTTTCTCTCTCATCGACGTTTCTGGCTCTCTATCTCTCTCCCTTCCTCTCTGCAAAAAATCAATAAAAATATATTTTTTAAAGAAATTAATTATTAATCTCATAATTATAATTTGTGATTACAGCTGAAAAATGAATGCCGGGATGTGAAACCTTTCTACCCAGCCTACTTCTATTCTAATGGTCCTGGACAGAACAAAGTGATAACACCATGCCCAGGACAGCCCGGTCCTTGGAACCCACTAAGCAACAGTGCACCGCCAACAGGGAGATTAAACAACGCCAGACAGCGCACCTGGGCGGGGTGGCTCAGTTGGTTGAAGCATCATCCCATACACCAAAAGGTTTCAGGTTCGATTCCCAGTCAGGGCATATACCTAGGTTGCAGGTTCAAACCCCAGTCAGGGCCTGTACAGGAGGTAACTGATCAATGTTTCTCTCTCCCCCGCTCCCTTCCTTTCTCTGTAGAATCGATGAAAAATATCCTCAGGTGAAGATTTAAAAATCTGCATAAAAATGTCAAACAGGCCCTAGCTGATTTGGCTCAGTGGATAGAACCTGCAGACTGGAGGAACGGACTCGCCAGGACCACTGTGGCTACCCACTGGGAGAGCATGCACATGGAAACTTCAGCCACCCTCGCCTCACTCTGGACACGTGGAAAACACAACAGCGGGAAACACATACCTCATGCTCACAGATTTTGATGACTATTTTCGCTATTTGCGTCAATTTGTGATTTCCTAGGGGAATAAGAAAACTGGATTAATTCAAATGGAATCATGTTTATGCCCAGCCCTGGGATTTTATTTCCACTAACAACCTTTTAGCTTGCTTTCTCGCACGATGAAACTTTTAAAGGCTAACTAAAAACCAGGAGGTTCTGGCTTTTCGTGCCGGTCAAATTGTGTGTACTCTCCCGTAACTGTCGGCCAGTCTCTGTGCCTTGATGCCAGCTTTTTTGGAAATGAGCCATTTGTGGCATTTCCCCACACGTTTTGAATTCATATTGAAAGATGCTTTTACAGCCAGGCTGGCACGGCTCAGTGGTTGAGTATAGACCCAAGAGGACAGGGTTCAATTCCTGAGCAGGGCATGTGCCTGGGTTGTGGGCTCAATCCCGTGTTGCAGGAGGCAGCCAATCAATGATTCTCTCTCATCACTGATGTTTCTCTCTCTCTCTATCCCTCTCTCCCTTCCGCTCTACAATCAATAAAAATTATTTGTAAAAAGTAGGTGCTTTTTTACATTTTAAAGGCTCAAGTTAGTGGAAAGGAGTCCTCCTCTACCCACTGTCCCAGACTCCCACCTAAGAAGAGTACGGAGGGGGAAAGACACTGAATTACGTAGCTCTGGTGGATCCAGTGCCTGAAAACACATTCTCTTGTTAACCCCTCCAGAAGCCAGAATATAGGGAGCAGATATAAATATTCTCATTTCATTCCTGAGGTAGCCAAGCCTCAGGCTACCTCACTAGCTCCCTTGGCGAGTGAGTCAAAGGTCTGGCCCAGAACTCTAAATCCCTTACCTCTGCACTAGACCAGAGGACAAGATGGTCAGAAACCCAGGTTTTCTTCAAATGTTACTTTATTTTCGAAAATTGTATGTTCTCTGGCAACAAGACTTCACACACACACACACACACACACACACACACACACACCAGCACCTAGATTTCTGGCTTGCCTTGAAAACTCAGGGGATCTGATAACTCTGCCCAACAAGCCATGGAGTGTCCGGGGGCAACCCCGCCAGGCCAGGCAGGAACCCCACCAGAAGAGGCAGGCCAGTGTCCTGCTCTCCCCATAGCAGGTGCCAACCCTGTCTCACCAGTCCTCATTCACTTGTTTATAGGTTTGAGTTTATTATAATCTTTATCTAAATTCTCAATGCCTAGTGACTCTCCTCCCTGCCTGCACCCCAACCTGCTGCTAAGCAAAACATGGGCTGTGAGTAAACATCTACCATCCGTGCGTCTTTTCTTACACATTACCTAAACGTCTGTGCTAGACCCAACGGCATGCAGGGAACAAGACGGGGTACCTGACTTAAAGAGCTTACATCCTGATAAGCAACTCAAACCAATAAAAACAGCACAGTCCAGAAAGGGTAAGAAATGCTGCCGCAGTCGAAACCGGTTTGGCTCAATGGATAGAGCGTTGGCTTGTGGACTGAAAGGTCCCAGGTTCGATTCCGGTCAAGGGCATGTACCTTGGTTGCGGGCACATCCCCAGTAGGGGGTGTGCAAGAGGCAGTTGATCAATGATTCTCTCTCATCGATGTTTCTAACTCTCTATTCCTCTCTCTTCCTCTCGGTAAAAAAAAAAAATCAATAAAATATAAAATAAAATAAAAAGAAAGAAATGCTGCCGCAGGGAAAGGCAGGTGCGGTGGCAGCCCTTAACAATAACATAGGATTGGTCTCGCTCACCAGGGAAAACTCTTCAGAGGACTGAGAGACTGAGGCTGAAGAATAAGAAACAGCCATCAAGAAAAAGAGGAAATGCCTGTTCCAGCAGGGGACAAGAGAAACAGGATCGGGCAGGACACTGAGAGATCTGCTAGCCAGAGGGAAACAGAGAGGATTGTGGGAGAGAAGTTGAGGCAATGAGAAAGATGCCAAGGAGATTTTTCTGTCGAGAAGGCTCAATCCTCTAAATCCCGGACAACACAACTGACAAAACTTTATTCAGAATATAAAGCTCTCCTACAACTCCTACAACAATAGAATACAAAAGGAGCAAAAGATTTTAAAAGGTCGTTTAACAAAAGATATATAAATGACTTATAAGCGCACGAAAAGAACCTCAATACCATTAGTCCTGAGAGGCTGAGGCTGAAGAATAAGAAAATGAATTAAATGAATTCAGGAAAATGAATTAAAAACCGCCATGACATAATATTTCATATCTTGCCGAAGCAGGTTTGGCTCAGTGGTAGAGTGTCGGTCTGCGGACTGAAAGGTCCCAGGTTCGATTCCGGTCAAGGCATGTACATTGGTTGCGGGCACATCCCCAGTAGGGGGTGTGCAGGAGGCAGCTGGTCGATGTTTCTCTCTCATTGACGTTTCTGGCTCTCTATCTCTCTCTCCTCCTCTCTATAAAGAATCAATAAAATATACTTACAGGAAAAAAAATATTTCATATCTTCAAGAATGGCTAAAATTGTCCCAACTGGTTTGGCTCAGTGGATAGAACATCGACCTGCGGACTGAAGGGTCCCAGGTTAGATTTCGGTCAAGGGCATGTACCTTGGTTGCGGTCACATCCCCAGTAGGGGGTGTGCAGGAGGCGAATGATTGATGTTTCTCTCTCCCTTCCTCTCTGTAAAAAAAACATCAATAATTTATATATAAAGAATGGCTATAATTAAAAAGACTAACAATACCAAATGCTGACAAGAATATGAAGCAACTAAGGCTCATATACACTGTTAGAAGGAGTGCAAAATGACACACCACTTTGCAAAAACAGTTTGGCAAAAACGCTTATAAGCTGAAATACAAAACTATTCAGAGTTCTAGCTATACCACGTCTAGGTTTCTACCCAAGAGAAATGAAAACGTCTGTCCACACAAAGACACGTGCAAGAACGCTCACAGCAACTTTGTTCATAGCAACCAAAAGCTGAAAATAACACAATACCCATCAACAGGGTGAGTGAATAAATAAATTCTATGTTGATAAAACTAACAAACACAGCAATAAAAAGAAATGAACCACTGTCACACACACAACATAAATGAATCCCAAAAATATTATGCTGCATTCACAAAGCCAGACACAAAAGAGTCCAATGCAATCTCTGGCTCCATTTACATGAAATCCTACAGTATGCAAAACTAATCCACAGTGACAGAGAACAGAGGAGTAGGCAAGATTTACTGTAAAGAGGAAAGAGAGAATATAATAGGATGAAAAAATTCTAGATCTTATTTGGGGTTGTGGTTACACATATGTCAAATATATAGAATGTACACAATAAAACCTGTACCTTTTATCTTATGTTATTATTTCTCCATGACAATGAAGTTTTTCAAAAAGGGCAGGCAGCAGCATCACACAGCCAGTTTGGATGTCAACTCAGATGTAAAATACTCATAGTCACCGGCCTCTATTCACAAACACAGCAATCCCTACACAAGTACCCGAAGGCATTAGCTCTCATGCGTGAGAAAAGAGTCTGGTTTTCTATGAAGAGTGGCAGAATGGACAACACACACAACATCCTCTCTCTCCTGGGCATCATCTGCACTCACCCCCGTTATAAATGATGCAGTTGTGCAAAATCCACTTGGCGTCAGCCAGGAAGGCTTCCGTGCAGCCATACATTTTCTTCTTCGCGTTCTGGAGAGACAAGCCAGAGGCGTAATCACCACCGAGCCCACGCCAGCCACAGCCAGCAGCATCTGCGACCCCACATAATTTTCTTAGCAGTCATGTGCCAAATTAATTAATGCTTTTACTCATTTCCCAAGATGCTGTTATAGGGGAGTTGTATAACTCCATAAAAATGCACCCCCTGAATGTATCACACTAACCTGAATTTTCCATTTTACAGCAGCTTATTCATATGGGAGAGGACATAACATATACTTATGTATTTATTATTATTTGTAATAGTCTCCCATAAGCCTCGTGATTGAGAACTCAATGAGGCAGTCATTACCATCCCCGTTTTACAGACAGGTGGACTGAGGTATGGGCATGTTAAGGAACGTAGGCAGTGTCCCAAAGCTATTCATGTATGAAGCTGGAATTCCAGCCCTGCCTTTTCTGAATGCCTGCTTTTTGGAATACCATGAGCATGTGTGCAATTTTCCAAAAGCAGGTTGGATGAACTGTTTGGGGAACATCCGTGCACACACGGTTTTCCCCTCACCCATGCTTTCCTCACCCAGATTTTGGTGTCAACAATTTGAAAATCAACACAGGATGTTGTGCACAATCTATCGGTTTACAAGTGTCGTTTTCAGCATGGAGATTTAGCATGAATTTTTAAAAACACCTCCAGGCATTAAAGAAATACGCTTATCGGTAAAATAAGTCAAGTTCTATGAAGCCATAAATGCACTGCTAATGCGAAGGTTTCCCAGACACTTAATTTTCTCTTTTGCCCTCCTGCTGCTCTCATTAGCACCTCCGCAAGGGAGAGAAGAGGCGAGGCTGAAATCCATCAAATCGCCAATTTCTTAGGAGCTATGACTTTTTCAGGTGGAGAATCACAAGCACAAGTAATATTCGGAGCTTATCCTTGGACTGCAACGCTCCATTGCAATCCTTGCAAAAATGTTCCAGAAGAAGTTAGGGAATAAAAATTCTTCCATCCCAATAAAAATTCAGAGAGGACATGCAGAGACCGTCTTGAGATGGGGTACGAAAAATGAGGGCGGATCCTTGGTCATCTCGACAAACTCGGAGTACAACCGCGGGGTACAACGGCGGGGTGCTCTGACGGAGGCCAACCTTTTCCAATGTGCACAGGTCCATGGGGTGGAAGATGTACTCTGCGTAGTCGGGATGCTGCTCCAGCGGAACAGGCTTCTGGAACGCGTCTGTCTACAAAGGAAAAGACGTGCACACACGCAGACACGGGCCCGTTACTGCGGGGGAAGACAGAGCATGAAGACCAACAACGCACTTTACACAGGAAACAACTTTTCAGACAAGAGGCTTCTCAGGTTTTCACAGAGAGCGATCCTGAGGAGAGGTCCAAATCAGTTTTCCTTCTAATTCTGCCTTCTTATCCATAATCATGGACCTGGCCGTGTTCTGGTTTCATGTGCTCCCTTTTCAAGATAATATGCAAATAACAGGTCCTGTTCTTCTTACACATGGAGGAGCAAAAGTAGGTTCACAATTGAAAATAACAGTAAATAACAACACGAGAACGAAGTGTGTGTTTCACGTGCTCACTGCTGTAAACCTAGTTTTGCCCCACCCTGTATTAAGATGGACAAGAACTACCACCAATCAGTTCCTTTAGACCGGAACGTTGAACGAAGTTTATCTATACACGGCAAATACCCATAATCAAAACTGACTGAGGACGAACTATGGCCACACCTAGAAATCGTGACCATAAGTAAAGCTCCCAAAGTGCCAGCAGATATTTTGCACGTGGGAGAAAAATTTAAACAGCGAGATTTTGCATCTCCTTTAAAAAGCCCAGTTACTCCAACACAGGAACTGTGTAAGTTTCTTATCTTGATCCATTTTCTTAAGCCCTACTTAAGTCAGCTAAAAATATAAGCCTGATTTGCTGAGGGGTGGTATTTATAAATTTAAAAAAAAAGATTAGAAGATCTATAATAATTAAAGCATAATATGCTAATTAGACCGGACATCCTTCCAGACAACCTTCCGGGGGGGAAGCCCGGGTGCCAGAGGGAAGCTGGTGCCAGCAGCCAGGGGATGGAAGGCCTACCCTTGCATGAATCTTGTGTATTGGGCCTCTACTTTAGTTATAAATACCAAAATGTACTCAAGCAAGGGATCTGAGTGGGTTACCATTTGCAGTCAGCTGAGCCCTTTTATTCAGAATGAATGGGTGGCCACTGTAAGTTTAAAGGATGCTACTGCAACCCCCACCGGATCGGCTCAGTTGGTAGAGCGGCAGCCTGCGGACTGAGGGTCCAGGTTCATTTCCAGCCAAGGGCACATGGCGGGGGTGCAGGCTCGACCCCCAGCAGGGGGCTTGCAGGAGGCAGCGGATCAATGATTCTCTCTCGTCACTGGTGTTTTCTATCTCTACCTTCCTTTTTGAAAACAATAAAAATATGTCTTTAAAAGATGCTGCCACAAAAATCGGCAACTTTCTGCAACGATTGGTCTTATCCTTTGTGGTTTATAATCCTACAGTGTTGACAAGTCTACATGGTTATTCTTTTTTTGTAAACAGTCCTCAACAGATATACGTCAGCCTATGAAAAACAGGAAGTAATTCCTTGTCATTCAAAATAGGAAACTATTGTAAAAACACCTGACTTTTTAACCAAACGGAGGTGACTCACTTTTGCTCCCATTGATGGACATTTTAATAAGAGAAAAATAGATTACAATTTAGCAATACTTAAATGGCACACTCTCAATCTTTTTCATCATAATATCAAATTTCACTATGTGAAATCTCAAAGTGAAAGCTTCCTTTTTTAAAGGAATTAAACCACAGTGTTACTAAATACCCTGAGATTCTACGTTTCTATAGATTCATTGGACTTAGAAAGCAAACTTCGACTTAGAAAGCAAACTCCGAAGAGTCACAAAGGTTCGCTACTGGTACACGTGAGAAAAAGAGAACTCTATCCTCAAGTTTCTGTAGGGAAAAAAAAAGTCATAATATGTTGATTATAATGGCATAACATGTGGGGTATTTTTAGAAGAAAGGCATTTTACTGCCATCTTCCTGAAAATGGTCACAAGAAAACTAAAACCTCCTTGGCTGTATCAGCCTGGCACTCAGGAGGGAAACCATGTGAAGTGCACAATTTGCCAGCTTAATGGGCAGCCCTGCTCTCATACAGACTGTCTTCGCCCTGGCCGGGTTGCTCAGTTAGTTAGAGCGCCATCCCAATACGCCAAGGTTGCAAGTTCGATCCCCAGTCAGGACCAACCAATTAATGCATGGGGGGAAAATTGATCTCTCAAGTCAATAAATAAATTTTCCTTGCCCAGTTTGGCTCAATGGATAGAGTGTTGGCCTGCGGACTCAAGGATCTCAGGTTCGATTTTGGTCTAGGGCACGTCGTACCTTGATTGCAGGCACATCCCCAGTAAGAGGTGTTCAGGAGGCAGCTGATCAATGTTTCTAACTCTATCCCTCTCCCTTCCTCTCTGTAAAAAAAAAAAAAATTAATAAAATATATTTTTTTAAAATAATAAAAAATTTAAGGGGAAAGAGATGTACACCAAATTCTATTTCAACACTGAAGAAACTAACCCAATTCTCATTCTTTATGGGAAACCGCACTGGTTGAATTTTACTTGGTTTCACCATCAGACCTTGACTGTAAGTAAACTGGTTGTACTTAGGTCTCTCATTACAATGAAAGTTTACTAATTCACATGGGAAGGAGTCATATTCCCCTTACTCGATGGGGTGTGAGGGAGTTTAAACCCCATAACCAATCAGAATTTTAAATCCCCATCAAGTTTCTCTACTATATGTCATTTCCCAAGTTCTTGAGGACACAGAGTTCTCAAATAGAGAACTAAATGCTGTCATAACTTACGTTTCATTTACAGATGTTTGAATTCGGGCACATAAGAAGGCCTAGAGAGCACGCATAGCTAAAGCTATTATGGAATAATAGTTTAACAGAACCTATGAACCAGGAGGTTTGATTGGTTCAATTCCCAGTCAGGGCACATACCTGAGTTGTAGGCTCAATCCCCAGCAGGGGGCATGCAGGAGGCAGCCAATCAATGATTCTCTCTTATCATTGACATTTCTCTCTCCCTCTCCCTTCCTCTCTGAAATCAATAAAAATATATTAGTCCAACCGGTTTGGCTTAGTGGATATAACGTCAGCCTGCAGACTAAAGGGTCCCAGGTTCGATTCCAGTCAAGGGCATGTACCTTGGTTTGCAGGCACATCCCCAGTGTGGGGTGTGCAGGAGGCAGCTGATCGATGTTTCTCTCTCATCCATGTTTCTAACTCTCTATCCTTCTCCCTTCCTCTCTGTTAAAAAAAAAAAAAAAAAAAAAAAATTAATAAAAAATATATATATTAATTTTTTTAAAGATATTAAATAAAAAAAAAACAGGTTAACAGAACAAAGGTCACTGCTTCCATTTACACTTATTCCAAGAGGAACTTTCTTCTTACCCCTGGCTGTTTCATTTTCTGAATGGCAAACTTGAGCAGGTAGGACAACTGTTCGATGGTGAGCATTGTCATAGCTTTGCTCTGGGTCTCGATGCATTCTGCTACTGTAATCTTCTACAAGTCAAACCACACAGAGGGCCAGTTAGGGAAAAGTTACTACCCACAGCCTGATTTCCTTTTCCTCCTAGCTTTCCAGTTAGCTCACACAGAGAAGAAATAATTTCCAAGTGAGAGCACTTGTCTCACTTGACAAGGACTCCAACCCACTTGGAGGTTAGTGGGTCAATGGATAAAGGTCAGAGGCACACAAACCCACTGGCTACCGGATTCGAAGTGCTCTGCGCGCATGAAGACGACAGAACGTGAGGAAGCTGCCGGCAGAGGGGCAGGGACCTGAAAATCGCCATCATGACAATCTTGAGTCCCAAGACAGGGATAAGAGAAAAGGCCACGGATGGCTCTCAGGGTGGTCTCTTCCTATAATGAATCAACCACTTATCTTGATGTTCTCCAGGTTCTGGGCTATCTTCCAGGAAATTGACAAGCCATTCACTCAGTGACATCACTGATAGAAAGAATGAATCCAAGGGATGGTGGCGAATAGTAAATGACTTAGTTCTCTGTCACCACCGATGTGAACTAACTTAGGACATGCTGGCAAACTGCGCAAGAAGCACAGCCCAACATGTCACAGGGCAAAACATGTCACTTAGTAAGGGAAACTCCCATCCAAGGAGAGACCCGGAGAAACGCCTGAAACGGGATTCTGCTATGCCCATCTGGTGGTGCTCCATCTCGGAGCCCCAGAACCCTCATGCAGCAAAGGCGACAAAACCAGCAAGGGCTGGTGACGGCACGGAGCACTCTTGAACCACCTGTGTCGAGAAAGCGGAGAAAGTCTTCCCCAATGAATTTGGACTTCCTCTCCCTTCTTCCTATCTCTGGAGCCTCCAAAAGGAACGTTCTGACGTGCCTGGTTGTCGAGGAAAAAGGGGCAACACCGAGTGGCTCTGAAGCCGAAAAAAGAACATGACGTGAGGATCTAACTGCTTTCAACCAGAGCCTGGAAGGCTGTGTCCCCGGCTGCCAGCCCCACCGCGTCACCTCGCAAGGAAATGGGGGCTTGAAACCTTAGACAGAGCACTCCTGTTTGTTTGCATGCCTGTCCGTGTCCAGGTAACCGATCCATGGCGAACACTTGGGCTGCGTGCTCAACTGTCATTCGCCTCCTCTGCCCCACACCCCTCACTCCTCCCTGCCCTCCCTCCTAGCTGGCAGTGCCCACGACAGAGACTGAAAGTGCCAGACATGCATTTTTCAAGCTTTTTTTTGCGTAAGGACTGGTGACCCAATCCTGACCAATGAACTGCAGAGCAAGTCTGCCTGATAAAAAGGGATGTGAAGAGGGACACTCCTTTTAGGGGATTTTTGTTGGCTGTTGTCACAAAATCCCCAGCAGCTGACGTGGGGCCATGCAGGGACACACGGCCCCAACGATGGAATGGAAAGAGCCTGGGTCTGAGCAAACGCTGGCCTGGCCCTGCCTCTGGGTTTTTCCTACACACGCTAATAAAACCCTCTTGCTTCTTCTCCGTCCGTCCCCTTTCATCAAGATCTATTATTGGCAGCAAAACACATCCTCTCCGAGCCGCTATCTTTTTTGCAAGATGAAGGAAGGGAGGGTTGGTCAAGACAAAAGGAAGTAGGTGAAGGCTCCAGTTCCCACACGAAAGGCAGGAGAATGAGGGAAGGTTCTGACCAACAGGGTGTAGCCAAGCAAAGCGTGCCCCGCACGTCTCTCCTTCTAGAGCAGCGTCGCCAACCTTTCGGACCTCCCGGACCACCAGGGGTCCTCGGACCACCGGATGGCGACCCGACCGCAGCTCCAGAGTAACCCAAAGAGAACCAGAGGCCATCGTTTGCAATTTCAGGGGCATAACACCATTAAAATGTCAGCATCCTATTGGATGAACATCTAATTTCTTATTTTTCTCCTTTTCCTACACAAAGTGGTACCACGGACACTATCCTTATACAGAGCTTGCTTTTTTCCCCCCACAAATGACATCTGGGCAAACTTTCCATTTCACACACGGAAAGCTTCCCTTGTTTGAGATCAAATGCCAACAGGTCCTTTGGATCACATGACACTCCATAGTAAATGATTTTATAGACATTATTTCCAGCATTTGGAAAAGCATCCTAGTTGGAAGTCACCAAGAATCGAAGGCACTTCAGAACAGTGGGAACCACCACAACTATGTTAATGAGTGTTTAGACTTTGCTGCAAAGGAAATAGAATACTCCCTTCACTGTCCAGTGTGCTCTGTCTGCCTGGGGTCCTGCACCTGCTGCCCTTCTGCCTAGAGGGTCTTCACTCCTCCTCTCCAAGTCTTTCTCCAATCTTAGTCAGGCTTCCTGGACCTCTTCATTTAAAACGGGAGCACCCTGCGCCCTCCTCACTCCCTAGTCCTCATCGTCAATTCATTTTCTCCAGAACACGCTTCTCCTAACACACTGTCTCTGTAACTTTATTTAGCCTGGTTTTTGCCCTTTCCTCCTGAAAAGAATGTGATTCTTGCCTCTTTTTCTTTACTGCGGATTCCCTAGCACCTGAGCAACACAGAAGAAGCAGTTGTTGCCAGAACGGAAGCATCAGATGGCAACCGGAAGCATCAGATGGCAACCACACAGAACATGCGACCAAAGTTGGTCTGCTTAGCGTGGCTTCTGACGATGATTCGATGAGGAAGCAGGAGACAACATCCAATAAGGGGAAGAACAGCATGAGATTTTTTCAGAATATGTAGATTTGTAAGTAAACTTCTGAAATGTCATTACAAAAGAGAAGGTTGTGGATCTCAAAGCGATCCGAAGACCCATGAAGAATCTAAATAATGTCTTTCCAAGAGGCCACGCTGCCAATGTTGGTCCAAAAAGGAGATGAGTGACCAGGATAGAGCAGGTGGCAGGCAAGAAATGTCTCTTTTCCCTGTATCTTGATGATCTGAAGAGTTAAAAATACAAGGGAGAAAGAGAAAGAAGAAACAAGAAGACATTTCTCTTTTCCCTGTTTCTTGATGATTGAAGAGCTAAAAATATAAGGGAGAAAGAGAAAGAAGAAACAAGAAGACATTTCTCTTTTCCCTCTATCTTGATGGTTTGAAGAGATAAAAATATGCGGGAGAAAGAGAAAGGAGAAGAAACCAGGCAGAGAATGCATTCATTCATCAGAAACTGACCTCACATTCAGGACAAAACCAGTCCCCCTCTGGTTCCGATGTCAGTCTCAGACACTTAGCGTGATAAACCCGGGGACAGAGCTCACAGCAAAGGACTTGGCCTTCCCGGTGACAAACCCAGCAGTAGAAATCATTCCGTCCATCCTGCGGTACAACATCAACAGGGTCTGTGGTGAGTGGCTGCTTCATATAGTAAAACGGACCATGTCTTAGTTCTGACTGAAATGTAGGCAAGAAAGACAAGTTTGGTTTCAAAACAAATGTGCATTCTCAAAAGGAATTTTAACAAACACAACAATAAACAACAAAAGACAATTACAGCATTTCATACATTCATTAAAAAGCCATCCTGGATTAAGCTACTCAATACATAGTTTACAGATCATTACATATTAAGATTTTTTTTTTCTTGCTTCTATTTTAAGAGGACATAGATTGAAAAACTAATGTATAAGAATTAATAGGCAGCCCTATAGCAGGATGGCAAAATGACTACAACCCAGGCATACCCAAGTTCAAATTTTAGCTCTACCAGCTACATGCCCCTGGACAGGTCTCTTAACCTCTCAGCTTCAGTTTTCTCATCTGTAAAATGGGCACGATAATACTTAACTTCATGGTATTGTGGTTGGGATTAATTGGGATGGTACAATGCATGCATTTAACACAGTGCCACCATTACTAATATCGCTGATATAGTTAAGAACCCAACATAAGAAAGTCTAAATGTGCAAAGCCAACAAAATGACGTCAGTTTGCCCTGGGATTCTTTCAACATCAGGCTTTTGGAAAATAGATCAATTGGATTTGAGTCACCAAAGAATGATCACCCACTTTTTAAGTCTACCCTGAATGCATTTAATACTATGAGCCAACAAGAGGCTTCCTAAAGCCATGATTCTTTTTTTTTCTTTAATACATTTTATTGATTTTTTTACAGAGAGGAAGAGGGAGGGATAGAAAGTTAGAAAGATCAATGAGAGACAATCACCGATTAGTTGTCTCCTGCACACCCCCCACTGGGGATGTGCCCGCAATCAAGGTACATGCCCCTGACTGGAATCGAACCTGGGACCCCTGAGTCTGCAGGCCGACGCTCTATCCACTGAGCCAAACCAATTTCGGCAAAAGCCATGATTCTTAAACATGATAGGTCCCCATCTACCAGGAGCTACATCACCTACTTAGGACCAACAATGGCAGAAAGATGAGATGAGTGGCCAATTCACAGGAGCCAGACCTCATCTTATCCCAAAATACCAAGAGAAACAGTTCCCTAATGATAGAACATAAAATCCAGCAAAGCCACATTCCAAACACATAAAATCCCTAAGATGAAACTCATTAGGAAATTGTCTATCGGAAACCAGTAAGAAATCCCGCTTTGGACGTTGAGATAGTCTGGTGGTAAACATCAAAATGACCTGGGGTAACTGGCTGTGTGACCTTAAGAAGGTACTCAATCCGCTTTCAGCCTTGATTCCATGGACAACAGCTTAGTCACAACCCTAGTACCTAACCTTTGAATAAACCTCCATGTATAAAAAGCTTTTTTCTTGTTCTTCATTAAAACATTACCGCTTCCTCCATAAAGATCTCCTATACTGGTTAGAGATGACATATGTTTGTTGGTACTGTTAATGGCATCTTTTCCTATTCTATTTTTTAAATAGTCATTGGTGGTACACAGACATGCTGCTAGATTTTTTTCATTGTCCTCAGATATAAACAGTTCTAATACTTTATGGATTAAACAAATCTTATCTCTGAAGCACTGGCCAGTGTGTCCATGGTTAAGAGTGTTAACCCACACACCAAAAGGTCACGGGTTCAATTTCCAGTCAAGGGCACGTACCCAAGTTGCAGGTTTGATCTAATGTGCAGGATGCAACCAATTAATGTGTCTCTTTCACATCAATGTTTTTCTCTCTCCTTCTCCCCCCTTTCTCCCTTCAACTCTAACAATCAATTTTCTGGCTAGATCCCCCAGGATAATGGGGGAAAGTGGTCAAGATTGCAGGCACCTAGGCCTTGTTCCTGTATTTATTATGAGGTTTTAATGCTCTCAAAATGCCTGCTCTTCCTTGATAAAGAGCTTCCCAGATGCCTCGCAGATCCTCATTATCCAATCCTTCTAAAGCTCCTACTTTCATTTCTACTAAGAAAACAACTAAGACTTTCAAGAGTGATTGCATTGAGGGATGGGGAGCGTGCAACAAGGAAAGTAGAGGGTTATTACTTCAAGATAATGGCACGAAGCCTAGTGCTCTAAAACCTGGCTCACCGATGGCCCACACGGGGGCAGATTATATACAGGAAAGATTACTAATTGTGGTGATTAAATTTTTTTAAAAGAATAAAAAATTTAGAGAAATAAGAAAAAAGTTAAAGGTCCAACAAGATAGACAATCTATCTTTAACTGCGGATTAAAATGGCTTCCTAAATTCCCGTATGTATTTGAGTCAGTGTCTGAACTTTTTGTATGCGTGCCTATTGACACACCAGTAACATGTTTTCATTACTGGCTTAATAACTCTTATATGGCTACTGTTCATTCAAAAAGGAAAACAAAAACCAGTGACCAGAAAATAAAAATCATGGTGATTAAGGGAGTTGGGGTCCTGGGCTTTACTGACTGGTTGATCTTGACTCAGGTCCTGATGTCAACCATAGCGTTTTTCTGTCTAGTTTCATGATGGTGTGACAGGTAGCGTTGATCCACTTTCAAGGGCCTGAGGCATAAACCATCTTCAATTTCCAAAAGCAGAGCACCTTCTAACTCTAGGCCTTTTCAATTCCTCGCTTCTCATGATGCAAACAAAAGTGCCATAGGCAGGGGGCGCCTGGTCACAGACTGCCATCCAACCTCCATCTCCAAGACAATAGGTCTGGGCAGCTGCTAGGCAGGGGCCTGGTGGCAAGCCCCAAGCCAGGATCGCCAAAGCTACAGGCCAAAGAGCCCCACGTTAGGCACCAAAACTGTTACCTGACGTAAGGGATCCATTTGCCCGAGTGCAGCAAAGCCCAATAAAACTCGAACAGGAGTTTGCAGCCTAGAAAGCAAACTTACAGTATTTGTTTAAGAAAATGGCCCCAAGCCGAGAGACACAGGTAAGCCAGTCCCCTCAACCTGGCTCCAGGGAATATGTGGCTCTTGAGCCCTGTTATGTCCCTGATTCACTTCAACATCTCAGACAGGCCATTTACTTGGTTTCCAGAGAGGAACATGGCTACAATATTCTTCCCATGTTATGTTTTTCAACATAATGTCACACACATCATCTTCACTTTATCCTCACAGCTACCCAGAGGGGTACTCAGGGTCTTACTAGGTGAGAAAACCAGGTTAAAAAGACTTATCTGGGGGAACTGGGTGGAAAGGGTGAAGGGATTCAGAAGTACAAAATGGTAGCTACAGAACAGTCACAGGGCCCCACCCGGCTGGTGTGGCTCAGTTGGTTGAGCGTCGTCCTGTGCACCAAAAGATCACAGATTTGATTCCCAGTCAGGACACATGCCCAGTTTGTGAGTTTGAGTCAGGGTTAGGGTGTATGCAGGAGGGAATTGATCGATGTTTCTCTCCTTCTCCCTTTCTTTCTCTTTAAAATCAATAAAAACTTTTTTTTTTAAATAGTCACAGGGATATAAAGTACAGCATAGGAAATAAATATAGTCAATATATTGCAATGATAATGTATATGGTGCCAGGTGGATACTTGAAATATCGGGGATCACTCTGTAGACACTTTTTCTCACCACTACGCTGGACACCTGAAACTAGCACAAAATTATACTAAATGTAAACTGTAGTTGAAAATTAAATTTAAAAAAAAAAAACTTATCTTAACTTTCTCTTGTCCCTGGGCCCCCTACAAGAGAATGATGGATGCACAAGAGATTCTGATGATAGAGTGACCCCTGAGAGAACATTCTCTATAGGTCAAAAATAATTTCCGCTTAATGCAGAAAGCTGGAGGGGGAAAACCTGGGCATGAGGAAGACGGAGAAATGTAATAGATGGGGGCATGAAAGGCAACCTTATCTTGAGCAAAGGCTCTCAACTCCCGCACCAGTGATATTGGGGCCAGAAAATTCCTGGGGGGGGGGGGGCGCGCGCGCTGTCCTGCTCACTGTATGCAGCTCACTGGCTGGATGGAACGGCACCCCCACACACAGAACTGTGACGGCCCGAAATGTCTCCTGACGTTGCTAAATGTGCTTTGGCAACGTTGGTAAATGTGGTTTGACGTTGTACCCAAACCGCCCCCAGTTGAGAGACACTAACGTAGCAGGCCTGCTATCTGTTTGGGTTCCTTTGGGTACTTAGAAAAGGAGGAGAAAGTCCTATTGAAAGATAAACTGTGGCCCTAGCCGGTTTGACTCAGTGGATGGAACAGTCAGCCCTTGAACAGAAGGGTCCAAGGTTCAATTCCAGTCCAGGGCATGTACCTCAGTTGTAGGTTCAATCCCAGGCAGGGCCAAGTGCAGGAGGCAATCTTTCTCTCTCCGTCTCTTCTCTCCCCCCCCCCCCCCCTCCCGTTCTCTCTAAAAATCAACGGAAAAATGTCCTCTGGTAAGGATTAACAAACAAAAAGAAAGATAACCTGTTATCTCAAGCAAGCAGAACTATCTCTAACCTGAGAATGCTTTTGTGGCTTTTGCAAGACAGCAGAGCACCATAGTTCAGTGCCTGACTTCCTTGCAGTGAGTTAATTCGAATATGGCAGCTTGATCTCCCTAAGTGGGCAATCCAAGTCCTTTCGATAGCACAGAAGCCAAGGGTTTGCCACTTCAGACGTTAGGTTTCCCCAAGTCCTTGCCCCTGCCCCACACCAGGGTGGGGCAAGGGTGTTCCTGGGAGGGTAGCATCAGGAGTTGGGCATCAGGCTGCTCCAATCTTCCAGGAGATTCCATTCTTTCCTAAACCGAGGATGCTGTTACTCAGACCTCGCTCCCTGGTAATCTCCCTGTCCATCAGAAACCTGCCTTATCTGGTGCTTGTAAATGTTTCCTGCTCCATCAAAAATCATCTGATAACCAATATGGAACATTTAAAACAGGAAAAGCAAATCGTTTCAGGTTCACACACACCCCCCCCTCCCCCAAGTATAGGTGTGTTACCAGCCTGCTAGAAGGGAAAAAGGTTGCAACCTGTGTTATTACAGGATAATTGCAGGCTCTATAAGCAAATGTTCTGATTTCCCTGCTTCTCCCACAG